GAGCGTTGCACGGGCGCCGAAGACTGCCCAGGAGCGTTCCAGGATGGCCTGAGATGATCTCAAGGCGGTCCAGAGGGGCCCAACACGGCCAAAGAGGCCCTCAAGGGGACTTTCCAGAGGGCCTCGCGAGGGCAGAAATATTGATGCTCCTTCGGTATTTGAAGGTGTTCAGGGTTCTCGCTTTTGTCGGGCTTCCGACGGCCCAAGACGGCCCAACAGGCCGGACAGATTGGGAGGCGCAGCGACCTGGTGGTTGCAGCGGGGCGGCGGCGGCGCACTGCAGGGATGCACGGCGCGACGGTCGCGGAGAGGGCGGCGGGCCACTGGTGCTGTCGATCGCGGGAGGTGCTGGCCTTGGCGCGCGAGCTGGTGCTGCCACGGAGAGGGCGGCGTGCCAGTGGATCGTGAGGGCCGGCCTTGGCGCGCGAGCTGGTGCTGCCGTGGAGGGGGCGGCGTGCCGCTGGTGCTGTTGATCATGGGGGTGCTGGCCTAGGCGCGCGAGCTGGTGCTGCCGCGGAGGGGGTGGCGTGCATGGTACTGTTGATCGTGGGGGTGCTGGCCAAGGGCCTTGGCGCGCGAGCTGGTGCTGCCGCGTTTAAGCCAGCTGGTGGTGTGCCCGTACGTGCACTTCGGCCCAGCGGTACCCCCGCTCACGCCTTGCATCGCCAGCGCGGTCCCCCTCTGCCCAGCCGCCGACGCAAAAGGTGTGCCCGCAAGTCGCAGCTATCGCGGGGCTGGTGTCCGCCGCGATTTACGCCGGTCGGCGGTGTGCCCGTAGACCGCAGCTATCGCTCGGCTGGTGTCCGCCGCGATGCTGATCAGCGGACGTCGAAAGTCGGTCGTCGCGGCGGCTGGTGCCGCGGCGTGCGCAGGCGTCGTGGAGCGGTCGACGGTCGCCAGTCGGTCGTCGGTCGTTGGACGCTGGTCGTCGAACGCTCGGCCATTTCCAGCTGGTGCTGCGACGGGGGGAGCGGCGGCTGCGGCCTGGCCAGCCGCCCAGCTCCAGCCTGTCGTCGTCGTCGTCGTCGTCGTCGTCGTCGTCGTCGTCGTCGTAGTCGGCGTCGGCGTTGGCGTCGGCGTCGGCGTCGGCGTTGTCATCTTCCTGCCTCGTCCTCTGTGGGCTGTGGATTGGGACCCGTGGGGATTGCAGCTGGCCAGGTGGCGGCTGAGTGAGAGGGCGCAGGCGGGGACGCGGTGGGGGTGTGGCGGTCGTGCGGTGCCGTGGCCGGCGCTCTCGGTGCAGCCGGTGCTGCAGGGGTGCGGCTGGTGCTGCAGCCTGGCAGGTCAGCCAGTTCCTCATCCTCTGCCCGTCCTGATGGGAAAGGACGGCGGGAGGTGAGGGGGAGGGGGCGCGGCGCAGCGGCGCGGCATCGGGACACCGCGGTGGTGAGCTGCTCGGGGCTCGCGAAGAGAATGTCGAGAATGGGGGTGCTGAGACACGCGAGAGCGGAGGCACCGATCAAGGTCGGTTGGGGCGCGTCGCAGCGGACGCGAGGAGGGCTCCCGCCAAGATCATGCAGCTGTGAGTCACGCGGTTGGTGGGCTTGGTGTGCGAGCTGGTGCAGCCGCCTTGGAGCCAGCGAGTAGTGTGCACATCGGCCACCGTCGCGGGGCTGGTGCCGGAGGCCGCGGGGGCCTCGGCAACGACGCGTGTGAGGTCAGCACGGAGAGCATGAAGAGCGTCACGTGAAGATGAGGATCCGCAGGGGGATCAGGAAGGTGACGTTGGTCGCGAACGGGCACGCACAGCTTGTGGTCGCCGACATGGATGGTGAAAACGTGTGGAAGCTGTGGAGATGGCGAACCACGACGTTGAGCGGGGGGCGGTGCAACCACACTGGCAGCAGCAGCACGCCAGGGTTTGTGCCCGCCCAGCAGTCGAAAGCGAAGGTCGCGGAGCGGTCGTGGTCACCGTGCGTGCGGCGCTGTGGGAAGTTTAGAGAAGCTGGGACGCAATTCGCTATCACGTTGTATTCGGCCAACAACCAAGCGCCACCACCCCACCTACGGCCCCCCATGTTGCGCTGCGCCCCGTCGGGAGCCGTAGCGTATACCACGCAAACACCCGCGCCAAATTCCCTGATATACGCTAATCCCCGTGGGGCCGTAGGTGGGATGGGGTCGTTTGTTTTTGTTGGCCCATGACGTGGTTCGAGTCCCCTCAAGCTAAAAAGGGCGCGTGGGGGTTCGCGCCAAGGCTAAGCGCAAGAGGGAAAGAGAGCGATCTATATATATATATATATATATACACATATATATATATACATATATATATATATAGAGAGAGAGAGAGAGAGAGAGAGAGAAAGAGAGAGAGAGAGAGAGAGAGAAAAAAAAAAAAAAAAAAAAAGAGAGAGAGAGAGAGGGGCGCGGGAGCGATAGAGAGAGCGAGAGCGAAGGGGGGCGGGAGGCAGGGATGTGAAGGGGGGGGGGCGGGGCGAAGGGGGGGGCGAGGGTGGGAGCGAGGGCAGGAGCGAGCGAGGGAGGGAGGGAGGGGGAGGGCGAAGGCGTGGAGGGGGCGGGGGGGCCCCAAGGCCGACGAGGACCGGGCGGCGCGCAGCGCCACGGAGGGCGCCGGGGCGGAGGCGGGCGAGGAGCGCAGCCCCGCCGCGGCCGCCGCGGAGGGCGCCTCGGAGGAGCAGCGGGCCGCGGAGCTGCGGCCGCCGTGGGCCGCCGCGGAGGAGGAGGCCGCGCGGGGGCGAAGGGGGACGACGGCGGCGACGACGACGACGACGAGGACGACGACGACGACGACGACGACGACGACGACGACGGCGACGGACGACGACGGCGACGGACGACGACGGGAGGACGTGCAGGAGGAGGAAAAGGAGGACGAGGAGGAGGACGAGGAGGAGGACGAGCAGGAGGAGGAGGACGAGGAGGAGGACGAGCAGGAGGAGGAGGACGAGGAGGAGGACGAGGAGGAGGAAGAGGAGGAGGAGGAGAGGAGGAGGAGGAGGAGGAGGACGACGACGATGTCGCAGAGGAGGAGACCAGGAGCGGCGAGCATGTTTCCAGACATGCAGCGTGTGATCTGGACGCGAGGTTGGTCGCTTTCGGCCCCAGACATGCATCGTGTGATCAGGACGCACCTGGACGCCAGGTTTGCCGTCGTCTTCGGCCCCTTCGACAAAGGTCGGGATTTCCTTGGCCCCCCTCTTGAAAAGGAGAGGGCGTCGCTGGGGATCCGTAGCCGCGCCCTCGCGGCTTGGATCCCGGGGCGGCGATCCCGCAGACACGCGGTCGCACGCGTGCGTTCCGCGCGGGGCATCCGCGAACACGCCGCCCCGTCCCCGCGGGGTCGCGGCCCAGGGGCCGGGCCCGCGAGGCCGCGGCCGCGGGCACGCCGCCGCGCACGGTGGGCTCGCCGCGGGGGCTCGCCGCGGTGCCGGCCGCGTCCACCTGTGGGCGCGGGGCGCAGGGGTTGCCGTTGGTTTTTGCCGTGGTGTCGGCGTCGTCTATGTTGGCGCGTCGAGGACAAACGGCGCAGCGACATAGCGCACGTAGCACCCCGCAGGTGCGGATGAGAGTGAGGGGGCGGTGGGGACGTCGGCAGTCTGCAAGGCTCTGGAGAAGCCCGCCGCAGGCGCCAAAGTTTCAGACATTATACAACGAGCCCGCTGCAGGCGCCGATTTTTTCTTTAAACCAATGTGGATCGGTCGCTGGTGGGTCGCGGGTGGGTCGCGGATGGGTCGCGGGGTGGGTCGCGGGTGGGTCGCGGGGTGGGTCGCGGGTGGGTCGCGGGGTGGGTCGCGGGCGGGTCGCGGGCGGGTCGCGGGGTGGGTCGCGGGTGGGTCGTGGGTTGGGTCGGGGTGGGTCGCGGGGTGGGTCGCGGGTGGGTCGCAGGGGGGACGACGACAACAACAACACCAACACCAACAACCAACACCACCACCACCACCACCACCACCACCACCACCACCACCACCACCACCAACAACAACAACAACAGTCATTTTAAGACTGTTCGCCCTTATCTGTTCGAGTGTCGAATAACGCGAATTTCCCAAACCCTCGGTACCCGCCCTTTTCGTCTTCGATCGAACCCCTTTTGGGGGGTATACCTTTCTTCCCTGCAGGCCGGGCCCCGGCAAGCGGCGGGGCGGCCGCGGACCGTCGGCCTGGCCAGCAGCAGCGCTGATCGGCGGGGCGGCCGCGGACCGTCGACCCGACCCCAAGAGGGACGGACAGGGGACCGACCACGACGACGACGACGACGACGACGACGTCGACGACGACGGCAACGACGGCGACGGCGACGACGACAACGAGCGAAAGCGAGAGCGAGGGAGAACGACAGCAGAGCCACGAAGGACACGAAGTAGGCCACGAAGGCCGACAGCGGGGACACGAAGGGAATGCGTATGGGGCCACGAAGAGCGCGAACGAGCGTGGGCCACTAAGGGCAGATAGTGCTGGGCCACAGAAGGCAATGATGGGGCCACTGAAGGTAGCACCTGGGCCACATAGGACAATGAGGGGGCCACAAACGGCGACAGCGGGGCCACGAAGGGCATGCACATGGGGCCACAACGGGCGCGAACGAGCGGGGGCCACGAAGGGCATACGTATGTTGGGCCGCGGAGGGTACGGACGGGGCCACTGAGGGCAGCAACGGGGACACGAAGGGCAGCGAGGGGGCCACGAAGGGCGACAGCGGGGCCACGAAGGGCATGCATATGGGGCCACCACGGGCGCGAACGAGCGGGGGCCACGAAGGGCATACATATATGGGGCCACGAAACAAAGCGAGGGGGCCACGAAGGGCTGCAACGGGGCCGCGAAGGGCAGCGAGGGGGCCACGAAGGGCTGCAACGGGGCCACGAAGGGCTGCAACGGGGCCACGAAGGGCAGCGACGGGGCCACGAAGGGCTGCAACGGGGCCACGAAACAAAACGAAGGGGCCACGAAGGGCTGCAACGGGGCCACGAAGGGCAACGAGGAGGCCACGAGGGGCTGCAACGGGGCCACGAAACAAAGCGAGGGGGCCACGAAGGGCTGCAATAGGGCCACGAAACAAAGCGAGGGGGCCACGAAGGGCTGCAACGGGGCCACGAAGGGCAGCGAGATCCCGATTCCTAGGTAATTTGTGAAGGAGTCCTAAGCGTGAGCGCGACTCCTGGGTGCCTGGGTGTCGGGAGCGCGGCGCTGGAGTAGATTACAAGAAATTCCAACGCAAGGGCGCTATTCTACAGTAAATTGCAAGCAAGTCTCCAGCGAGAACGCGACTCCAGAGCGCAGGAAGAGCGATTCTTCAATAAATCGTAAGGACGTCCCAAGCGAGAGAGCGATTCTTGAATAAAATGCGAGGAAGTCTCGGGCGGGAGCGGGGGTCCAGGCTAACTTGCGAGGAAGTCTCAGGCGGGAGCCGTTGTTGTTGTAACCCGGGGGCCAGGGGGCCAGTTTGAGCAGGAAAACTTTCTTTGACAAAAAACAAAGTGCGAGCCCCGAGGGGGGCACTTCAATTGAAAAAATCTATGTGCACCGGTGTGAGGGGGATCAAAAATAATTATTCTTTAAGAAAGAGAGTTCAACAACCAACCACAACAACAACAACGGAAAGGCGTGCATTCCACCCTCGGTCAGGGCTGGAGCCTCCGGTGTCACTCCGCCGGTGGACGGGCGCACACTCCGGTCCCGTGGCTCTGCTGGCCTGAAACGCTGTGTGGCGATGACTTCTCCGTCCGGCCCTGCGAGAGGCCATTTGCGGCGGTTTCGCGCCGCGGTGGGCAAACGTACACTCCGGCCCCGTATGCCCCGTCATCTGTATTGTTCCCTCCACAGAAAACGCTCCCCGTGCGCTACCCCCTTCTCCGGCCTCGTGTGCCCTCAGGGACCTTCACGACGACGACGGCGGCGACGACGACGACGACGACGGGGATCTTGAGGAGTTCTCGGGAGCCCTGAGGAGTCTTGAGGTGTCCTTATGAATCCTTGGGGGCCCTGAAGAATTTTAAGACATCCCAAGGAATCCTGAGCAGGCCCACAAGATCTTGAGAAACCCTGGCGAGATCCTGAATAATGCGTGGGAAATCCACAGGATTTCTGTGAGGTCCTGAGGAGTCCTGGGTTCTCGTGAGGCATCCTGAGGAACCCTGATGGCTCCTCACGAATCCTGACGAATCTTGACGAGTCCTGATGAGTCCAGAGGAAGCCTAGGGGATCCTGAGGAGTCCTTGTGTGTCCTGAAGATTCCTGTGCAATTCTGAAGAATGCTGAGGGGTCATGAGAAATCCTGAAGGGTTAATGGGTGCCCTGAGAGGATCCTGAGGAATCCTGTGGGATCGTAAGGAGCCTTCAGGCATCCTGGAGAGCATGTGAGGAGTATCCTGAGGCATCAGTGTGGATCCTGAGGAGGAAGCCATCGGACTCTTTGGAGGGGGGGGTCCTGGTGAACCCTGAGGAATTCTTGTGGGTCCTGAGGAATCCTGACGTGTCCTGAAAATTTTAAGATATGCTGAAGAATCCTGAGCAGCCCCTCGGGATCCTGAGAAACCCCTGGGAGATCCTGAAGAACCCTTGGGGGTCCCACGGGTTCCTGTGGGGTCCGGAAGAATCTTGTGGACTCGGGAGGAGTCCTGAGGAATCTTGAAGGGCCCAGAGGAATCCTAGCGAATCCTGGCGAGTCCTGATGAGAGCCCAGAGGAAGCTCAGGGGATCCTGAGGAATCCTTGTGGGTCCTGGGGAAGCCTGGGGGATCCTGAAGCATGCGAAGGAGTCCAGAGGAATCCTGAGGGGCACCCAGAGTTGATATTGAGGATTCCTTACGGCTCCCTCGGGGTCTTCAGGCATCGTGAGGAACCTTGGGGGATCCTAAGGAATCATCGTGGATCCTGAGGAGGAATCCATAGGACTCTTTTGGAAGGGGGGGGTCCTGGGGAATCCTGAGGAGTCCTCGGGAATCTTGAGGAGTCCTGAGGTGTCCAGAGGAATCTTGACTAATCCAAAGGAATCCTAGGGGATCCTGAGGAATCCGACTACGTCCTGAGGGTTCCTGAAGAGCCCAGCAGAATCCTGAGAAACCCGAGGGGGATCCTGAAGCATCCTTTGGGGTCCCAAGGGTTCCTGTGTGATCCTGAGGAGCCCTGGGGCCTCGGGAGGAATTCAGAGGGATCCTGAAGAAACCTGACGAATCGTGAGAAGTCCTGATGAGTCCAGAGGACGCCTTGGGGATCCGGATGAATCCTGTGGAATCCTGCAGAATGCGAAGGAATCCGGAGGAATCCTGAGGGGTACCCAGGGGGAATCCCGAGGAATCCTTGGGAAACCGAAGGAGGCCTTCGGCATCCCGAGGAATCTTGGGGGATCCTGAAGAATCGCTGTGGGTCCTTAGGAAGAGTCCATCGGACTCATTCGGAGGGGAGGGTCCTGAGGAGTCCTGAGGAATCCTGGGAGTCCTGAGGACTCCTGAGGTGTCCTGAGGATTCCTTGGGGATCCTGAAGCATTTGAAGACACCCTGAAGAATCGGAAGGAGCCCAACGGAATCTTGAGAACCCCACGGGGAGATCCTGAAGAATCACGTGGGATCCCCCGGATTCCTGCGGGATTCTGAGGAATCCCGGGGATTCGGGAGGAGTCCAGAGGATTCTTGAAGGGTCCTGAGGAATCCTGACGAATCCAAAGGAATCCTGATGAGTCCAGATGAAGCCTGGGGGATCCTGAGGAATCCTTGTGGGTCCTGAGGAATCCTTGGGGATCCTGAAGAACGCTAAGGAATCCTTAGAAATCCTTAGGGGCCGTGGGGCAAGCCCTCCGTTGCTGGAGCCACGCTTCCCCTTAAGGATAAACACTTCAGTTTTGAGAGAAGAAGAAGAAGATCTCAGCAACAAGCCAGGGCCGGTGTCAACGCCTTACCGAACACCAGCAACAAAAAACAACAGCAGCAGCAGCAGCAACAACAACAACAACAACGCAACAAACATAATCCTCACCACGGATTTTCACTTCAGCCACGCACCCAGGGACAATGAATGACCGTTCGGCCCCCTCACTCTGATGATCTATGTTCTTCGCCCACGAGGAGAAGCGGGGCAAGGGCCGGGAGGCTGCTGGGCCGAGGGCCGCCGAGGAGGGCTCGGCTGGGGAGGCTGCCGCCGAGGCGGCGGCCGCGGAGTCCGGCGGCGAGGTGGAGCAGCTGGAGCTCAAGAAGCAAGTGTAGCCAGGGTGTGCCAGCTGGGTGGTCTCGGGCGGGGCCAGGACGAGGATCCGTCCGTGCCAGAGCGGTCCGGGATGCTTTCAGAGCCCGGAGCGCTCTGAGGAGGCAGCGGCGCCCGAGACAATCTCCAGAGCCGCCGGGTCTCAGAGATTCTCGATTGATCTTCGCCCGAATTTGTCCTCGTCCTGGCTTCGGCTTATGGTCGGTTCCTGCGATTCCTGTTGCGGGTGTCAGGCGTTGAGGCCTTGATAACCCTCGACCTGCGCCTTCCGCGCCGTCCTCGCGGCAGGTGCCGCGCTGCCGCGGCCGCCGCCGCGGCCGCAGCGGCGGCCGCAGCGGCGGCCGCTGTCGAGGCCGCAGCGGCGGCCGCGGGGGCCGCCGTGGCCGCATGGCGGCGGCGCCGTCTGCGCGGCAGGTGCGGCAGGTGCAGGTCGAGGGTCATGTGAGCGAGTAGTCTTGCCTATGGCGGGTGTCGGGTGTTGAGGGGCCTGGCCCGCGGTGGGTGATGTACCTGGTTGCCCAGGCACGCGATGTCTGGATTCTTCAGCACGGGGTCGCCAGGAGTCTTGACCCTTCCCCAGGGCCGGTTTGTGATTGCCCGGGGCATCCAGCGACGAACACGGCCGAGAACAACCACCCGTCATGATTTCTTGTTTTCGTCACGACGCGAGGAGGAGGAGGAGGCGGAGGAGGAATGAGGGAGGAGGAATGGGGGAGGAGGAATGGGGAGGAGGAATGGGGAGGAGGAATGGGGGAGGAGGAATGGGGGGAGGAATGGGGGAGGAGGAATGGGGGAGGAGGAGGAGGAGGAGGAGGAGGAGGAGGAGGAGGGAGGAGGAGGAGGAGGAGGAGGAGGAGGAGGAGGAGGAGGAGGAGGAGGAGGAGGAGGAGGAGGAGGAGAGGAGGGAGGAGGAGGAGGAGGAGGAAGAGGAGGAGGAGGAGAGGAAAGAGGAGAAAAGAGGAGGAGGAGGAGGAGGAGGACGAGGAGGAGGAGGAGGAGGAGGAGGAGGAGGAGGGAGGAGGAGGAGGAGGAGGAGGAGGAGGAGGAGGAGGGAGGAGGAGGAGGAGGAGGAGGAGGAGGAGGAGGAAGAGGAGGAGGAGGAGGAGGACGACGAGGAGGCGGTGGAGGAGGAGGAGGAGGAGGAGGAGGAGGAGGAGGAGGACGAGGAGGAGGAGGAGGAGGAGGAGGAAGGAGGAGGAGGAGGAGGAGGAGAGAGGAGGAGGAGGAGGAGGCAGTGGAGGAGGAGGAGGAGGAGGAGGAGGAGGAGGAGGAGAAGGAGGAGGCGGTGGAGGAGGAGGAGGAGGAGGAGGGAGGAGGAGGAGGAGGAGGAGGAGGAGGAGGAGGGAGGAGGAGGAGGGAGGGGGAGGAGGAGGAGGAGGAGGAGGGGTGATGACTCCCTCAGGAGCAGCAGCTGGAGCGGGCGGCGCGGGACCTGGCGGCGGTGAGGGCCGCGCAGCAGGAGGCCGCGGACCGGGAGGCGGCCGAGGCGCAGAGGCGAGCGGCCGAGGAGACGGCGCCCGAGAGGGCGGTCGAGGCGAGCAGGCGGGCGAGGGCCGCCGCGAGGAGGGCGGCGGAGCAGAGGGCCGCCGAGCTGCGGCCGCCCTGGGCCGCGGCGGCCGCGGCGGAGGAGGAGGAGGAAAAGGAGGAGGAGGAAGCCGTCGCCACCGAGGATCCAGCGCCAAGAGATGCGACGTCTGGGGAGAGAAGTCGGGGCGCGAAGGTGCTTCGTCGATTTCGGCCCCTCGGGGGCCCTGGCTGGGCCCCGGGACCGTCAAACAGCGATGCAGGATGAACAAGTGATTTTGCGTCTAGCGATCCCCACCGAAGCTTTCGGCGCCTTCGTGACGCCGTGAGGGCTGTCACGTTAGATGCGTCGTCCGATCGGTCGTTGCTGCGTCTGTTTGTGCCTGTGGCCGGGCTGACCTCGGCGCGCACGTCGCATTCGATTATGTTGTTGCACGGCCTATGATTTTATGAAGTTCCTCTCGAAGTTCGTGTTTCTTTATGTTACAGTATGCTCTGTTATGCCCACCTCTCTCAATGTAAGACATTGGTATGATATGATATGCCTTGCTCTCTGGCACCACCTTGTGACATGATACGTCTGTTGCGTCGGGTTGTGCTATGTTATGCTATTAGATGTGATGATGTTTAGTGTATGCCCAATTCGCTATAGTGTAGTATGGTTTGTTTTGCCATCACATACCTCTGCAATGAAGCTATAGCCAAGCATGATATATCTAAAGCGCTGACGTAGGGGTAGCAGTAGTACAGCAATTATGATATGTTCTGCGGGTTACGGTGCGCCCTATGCGTTGTTGTGTTGGTTTGAGGATATTACATTATGTTGTGTTCCGTTCTGTCTGTTCTGTTCTCGACGGGCCGCCGTGACGCCATGACGCCTGTCGTTCGTTGCTGCGCCTGTTTGCTCCTGCGGCCAGCGTGACCTCGGCGCACACGTCGCGTTTGAGTATATCAGAGTGCAACATGTTGTGCTGCGATGCCCCATATTCATATCTGTTTCTCATATGTTAAAGTATGCTCTGTTATGCATGCTTCTGTCGCACTATACTGTGTTAGATTATGGTATGTTCTGCGGCATCATGCTATGGCATTATGTCTTATGTCAGGTTCTGATATGTGTCGCTATGTGTGTGATGCGATTCACGTTATACCGTTCTATGTTCGGTATGTTATTACATGTTTCGTTATGTGAAGGAATTACTCAGCAGTATGAGAAATCCTATGAAGTTGCAGTGCACTCGTTGCAGTCGTTGCGTCGGTATGTTCAGGTGTGCTCGATGCTGCGTTCTGTCATGCCCTGTTCCCTCATGGTATGTTATGTTATGTCTCGTTGTGCTATATGTGATAGTTTGTTTGTGCATAACATGTGATACCGTGCGCTGTCATGATGTGCACTGTCATGTTATAGCATGGTTGTGTATGTTATGGTGCGGTATTTTGTTATGTCCTGTCATGGTATGTAATGCCATGGTCCGCTATGGTATGCGTGTCTATGCTATGTTGTTAACATGTTGCTATGACCTGATATGATCAGCCATGCTCTGTCATGATGGGCCGTGTCATGCTGCGTTATGTGCGATCGGCTATGCAATAGCATTCGTTGTTAGGTTGTGGTGTGGAATACGATGTTCCGACATAGTATGATATGGTATGGTATGTGGTGTTGCTATGGTATGCTATGTTACCCGATGACACGTCATGTTATGCCACGCTTTGGCATTGCATGCGTTGGCATGTTATGCTATGTGTTGATATGCTATGGTATGACATTGTCTGTCGGGTCTGGTATGCTATGCGATGTCACGTCATGTTGTGATGCCTTGTGCAATGACATGTTATGTATGCTCCGCTCTACCATTGCATGCGTTGGCATGCTCTGCTGTGCTATGATGTGTGATACTATGCTGTGTTCTGCATGATCCGTTATGTCGTAGCATACTTTTAATCTGCTAGGATGTAGCATTGCTTGGTTAAGCTATGCTGTGTGATGCTGCGTTATGCCATGCCATGCTATCTCATGTTATGTTGTGGTATGCCCTGCTCGGGCTGCTCGGGGGATGCTCGGTGGATCTCGGGATCTGGCGGCCGCGGTATGCAGGAGCATGGCCAGGCCGGCGCGAGGCGGGCGTCTCGGGGGATGCTCGGTGGACCTGGGGATCTGGCCGCCGCCGTATGCAGGGTGGTCGGGCCGGCGGGTCTGCTCCTCAAACCTCACGACCCCGACCTGTCAGGTGGGGAAATCGTCCTTTGGGGAAAGGGTGGCGACTCCCGGGGAGCCCGTGCCAGAAAAGTCAAGACAGTCGCCGTCACGGCCGGGATCGTTTCGCAGTCCTGGTCGGAAGGCGCCTTGGCAGACCCTAACCTCGGATCCGCCGTACTTTTTGGTTGATTCCCTACCTAGGCTCTTCCTAGAAGGGTTCTTACTTTCTTTGCTTAAAGGGGTCGGGCAGTGGAACCCGCCCCGGGCGGTTCCCCCGGTCCCCTGGGAGCCAAGCAAAAGCAACATCAAAGGTAAAAGCAAACGCGCGGTTCCCCCAGTTGCGCTCCCTGGGTGCCAAGCAAAAGCAAGAGCAAAGGCAAAAGTGAAGGCAAAAGCGAAGGCAAAACAAAAGCATAGCATAGCATAGCATAGCATAGCGCAGCATAGCATAGCGCAGCATAGCATAGCATGGCCTAGCCTAGCCTAGCCTAGCCGAGCCTAGCCCAGCATAGCATTGCGCAGCATAGCATTACAGAGCAGAGCAAAGCATTGCATAGCATAGCATAGCATAGCATAGCGCAGCACAGCATCCACTATTGTTGCTGCTATATATATACTTATATGTGTGTGCGCACGTATGTTCCATGCATCTTGTCCGTCTGTGGGCCACATTGAGCCCTTAGTGGGGCAGCTTGTGCCATGTAGATGTAGGTGTAGATATAGATGTAGATGTAAAGAACTCCCCGGTGCCCCGCCCTCATCTCCGTGCCTGCTTGCTTTTGCTGCTGTCTCGGCGACTTGCTGCCTGCTTCTGCTGCTGCTTCACTTACGGCGTGGCGTCGGCGGTTCTGGCGCTACTACTACTACTACTACTACTACTACTACTACTACTACTACTACTACTACTACTACTACTACTACTACTACTACTACTACTACTACTACTACTACTACTACTACTACTACTACTACTACTACTACTACTACTACTACTACTACTACTACTACTACTACTACTACTACTACTACTACTACTACTACTACTACTACTACTACTACTACTACTACTACTACTACTACTACTACTACTACTACTACTACTACTACTACTGACTGACTGCTACTGACTACTACGACGACGACGACGACGACGACGACGACGACGACGACGACGACGACGACGACGACTACGACTACTACTGCTACTACTACTACTACTACTACTACTACTACTACTACTACCGCTACTGCTACAACTACGACGACGGCGTTTACCGACGACGACGCACTGGGACGACCTGGACGGACACGCGACTGGCGGACTCACGATGCTACGTACTACTAACTACGAAACTACTACTACTACTACTACTACTACTACTACTACTACTACTACTACTACTACTACTACTACTACTACTACTACTACTACTACTACTACTACTACCGCTACTGCTACAACTACGACGATGAGGAGAAAGAGGAGGGCGGCGTTTACCGCTCCTACTAATGTTGCTTTCCTAGATGCTCCAACTCCTAGGTAGGGTCGCACTGGGATGATTTTCAATTCTCCGACCTGGAATTGTGTCGGAAATGCACCCAACACAATGCGAAGCAGCATGGCGGAAGTGTCCGCCTCAGGAGGAGATGGCGCGGATGCTTCCGCAGAGGCGTGGCGAAGACAGCGACGGCAAAGCAGGGCGGGGAATCGGCATCAAAGGAACTCAACAGGCAGGGCGGGAATTGCCGCCCTATTTGCGAAACCCACCAAAGTACGGCGGGTCCGAAGATATCCGAAGTCGGGAGGGGGGCAAAGCTCAGCGCCTTGGGCCTTTGGTATTTGACAGTTCCGACGTCGATGTCGATGTCGGCCGGCTCGATCCGACTGCACTCGAGTTGGATCTTCCGTCCATCGAAGAAGAGAGCATGCCACAAACAGGATTTTTGTTGGCGCTCCGCGCGGATTTCTCTTGGAGCCGCGCTGGGCCGTGGAGCCGTGGAGCCGTGGAGCGGCAGGGTCGGCATCCTGCGGCTTCCTATCCCGAGGATGCCTCCGCGCGCGACGGGGGCGCCGCCGAGCCGGCGGCCGCGGAGGAGGGCCCCGCCGGGGAGGCCGCCGAGCCGGCGGCCGCGGAGGAGGCCCCCGCCGGGGAGGCCGCCGAGCCGGCGGCCGCGGAGGAGGGCCCCGCCGGGGAGGCCGCCGAGCCGGCGGAGGAGGGCCCCGCCGCGGAGGCCGCGGCCGCGGAGGAGGGCTCCGCCGGGGAGGCCGCGGAGCCGGCGCCCGTGGCCGCGGAGGCGAAGGAGTCCGAGGGAGAGGCGGGACAGCGGCAGTTGGCCTTCGTGGGGCACGACCGGCCGCAGCTCGGAGAATTGTTGCCCCGGGAGGGGTCCCAGAGACCGACCTCGAGCCCCCGCTGTCTCCGAAGCTCGTTTTGGAGACCTTCCTATGGGGCCCACCCAGCGGGTCTGTTCGACACTGGTTCGACCCCAGTTCGGCTCAAGTTCGACTCAGGTTCGGCTGAGGTTCGACGCAGGCTCGATTCAACGTCGGCCCAAATCGACGGACGCTCGGCGCAGCTTCGGCGCACGAGTGGAGCGAGATGGGCTCCGGGAAGGCCCCCAGAGTGAGCAGCCAACGTTGCCTCGGCTCGCCCGGCTCCGAAGGAGGCCCCCGGGATCAGCGAGAGGCTCAGCCAGATCGAGCGCCAGTTGGGCGCGCTCCTGGGCAGGCTCGGCGAGGGGGGGAACGCCAGCGCCGCCCAGCAGACGGAGAAGCTGCACGAGCTGGGGCAGACCCAGGCCGAGCGGCCAGCTCTGCCCAGACCCCCTCGCGTCGTGGACGAGATCGGCTCTTCCCCCCCTTCGTCTCCGCGCTCGTCTTTCCATCCTCCCCTTCCTCCTCCTCCTCCCCCCCTCTCCTCCTTCCCCCCCCCCTCCACCTCCACCTCCTCCTCCTCCTCCTCCTCCTCTTCCTCCTCCTCCTCCTCCTCCTCCTCCTCCTCCGCTCCTTTTCCTTATGAATCACTTCTCCCTGTCGCACCCCGAGGCCAGTTTTTACGGCGGGCCGGGCGTTTCGCTTGAGACTTCTTCACGATGTATGACCCTGAAGTTTAAACATTGGCAACAGTTTCACAGATGGAGGGCGGGTGGTTTACAAAATGTGGTTCTCGCCTTAGCGCCGCGCATACTCGTTTTCAAAATTTGCCAAAGTTTCACGGATTGAGGACGGGTGGCTTTCAACATGTGGTTTTCATTTTAGAGTTTCACGGATTGAGGGCGGGTAGTTTTCAAAATGCGGTTCTCGCCTTAGCGCCGCGCACATTCGTTTTCAAAATTTGCAAGAGCTTCACGGATTGAGGGCGGGTGGTTTTCAACATGTTGTTCTCGCCTTAGCGCCGCGCGCATTCGTTTTTTTCAATCATGCAACAGTTTCACGGGTTCCCATGATCAGCGTACCAGAAATGGTGTTTTGGCTGAACTCCGGACTTTGAGGGTGCCTGGCGTTCTGGCACGGTCCAGGGTCGTCAAGACGCAACAGTCAAGTTAATCCGTTGCGTTGGATTCCCGAGAGCAATGTTTTGGCACGCTTCAGGGTCGTCAAACGGCTGCCTTCCAACGAGGCAATTCCCCCAGTGAAAATGAACCCGTGTAGGAACATATGGAGTGGGAGCTTGGAGGGAGGGTTTATTCCAACATCATTGATGACTCTTGGGTTTACACTGGTCCTCCTCCTCCTCCTCCTCCTCCTCCTCCTCCCCTGCTCCTGCTCCTCCAAATGCTCCTCCTCCTGCTGCTCCTGCTGCTGCTGCGCCTCCTCCTCCTCCTCCTCCTCCTCCTCCTCCTCCTCCTCCTCCTCCTCCTTGGATATCTGATCGGTCCGATGTCGATGTCGGCGTCGGCCGGCTCGATCCGATTCGACTCGAGTTGGATTTTCTGGCCCTCGAAGGAGAGAACATGCCATAACCATAAACTTTTGGCGCTCCGCGCGGATTTCTTGGATCCGCGTTGGGCCCCCCCGGCGGCGCCTCCAGCGCCGCCCCTGGCGCGCTCCGCGCGCCAGCGAGGGGGTCCAGCGCAGATCCAAGAAATCTGCGCGGTGCTGTTTTTTCTTCTAGTCCATCCGACGCGGCCGGATGCTCGCATGTCATCGTTAGCGTCATGGCGCGGTCGACCCGGTTCGAAACCGACTCCGGGATGTACGTTCCGATCCGATCCAGTAGCCGGGTCCGATGCCAACCCCAGAGATGGGGCCCCCAGAAGCTTCGACCCTTCCCAGAGATCGGGCGCCTCGAAAAAATCAAGACGGAGGCTTGTCGTCGTATTCGGCAGCCTGGTGCCCTCGCCGGACCCCGGGACCATCACCACGGCTTCTTCGGTGCCCACTGCAGTACTGACTGGGCGCTCCCGGCGCTCCCCTCCCCCGCCGCCGTCATTTTGAATTGATGTTGGCCGGCGAGCCCGCCGCCATTTTGTTGTCTGTTCCCCACGCTTGTTTTTTATATGACTCTACTAACTCTGGCGCCTGCGAGCGCCCGCGCGCGCTCGCGGACGCTTGCGAGTGCCCCGGCGGACGCCTGAGAGCGCATGCGAGCGCTTGGGAGCGCCTGCGCGCGCTTGCGAGCGGTTGCGAGTGCTTGCGAGTGCTGGGGGGAGGTCGCCCGGGAGCGCATGCGAACGTCTGGGAAGGCCGGTTGGCGCCTGGGAGCGTCGGGCGCCTGGGAGCGCTTGCGCCCGCGCTTGGGAGCGCTTGCAAGTGCTGGGCGGAGGCGCCCTGGAGCGCGCGCGTTCGGGGGCGCTTGCGAGTGCTGCGCGCGCGCGTTTCGAAGCGCCTGCGAGCGCCGGGGCTCGAGCGCACGGTGCCGCGTTCAGCATCATGATCGCTACTGCAGGGGATGATGCGGGTCCGAGATGTTTTGCTGAATTGCGTTTTGCTTACTCTACGATTTGCATTCTCGCTTCACGCGGACAAATCTTAATTTATGGCTTTTTGTTTTGATGTCCCGTCCGTTTTTCTCGTAATCTCTTATGTGTTCATTTAATCATAATGATGGTTTGAGTTGCGAATGTTGTTCCATATTCGTTGTAGTATTATTCAACCGATTGCAGAACGCAGCCCGCCATGATAATTCCGGAGTGGTTACAAGACGATCCGCCGCCAAATTCTTGTGCGGAGTTCCAACTGATTTGCATTCGTTATTTTGCTTCGCCGCCGTTTTTTTGTTTTTGATGCGTCGGTTGCTGCTTCGGGCTTTCTCTCCGCCGCCCGTTTATATCTGCTGATCTGGAAAACGTTGTTCTGTTGTTTCCGGTGTACTTCGGGACCGTCAAAAGACAAGCGGGGACGAGAAGCCGGTCCTGCTGGAAGCGGTCGGGAGGTCGGGGGCCCGCGCCCCGACAAAGCATCGAGGCGTCGGAGGGCTGGGCTCTCCCGGGGCTCCAGCCATGCCAAGGCGTTTGTGCCTGCGGGCCCCGGGGGCGCGAGGCGGGCCCCCGCGGGGTCGTGCCGAGCGCAAGGGGGGGGGACAGGGAGAAAGGGGGGGAGGCTACGAAGTCTGCTGCCTGCAGCTGGTTTCGGCCCCGCCGCCGGGCCCATGCCTCGGGATGCACCTGCGCGCTTTTTTTCGGCCCAGGACTGCGTGAATCAGAAGCGGAGGGGGGGGATGGGGGGGGGGGGGGGGGGCAAACTGCCGTGCAAGTGAACTTGCCTGAGCCTTTAACAAAACAAGCTCCCGGGTGTTCCCTGTGGCTTTCGGGTCGTGCCTCGGGCCTCCGTGGGCCGTCTCGGGGGGGGCAGGTGCCGGGCAGGCCCGGCCTCCCCAGCGGAAGAGCCCTCGACGGGGCGCGGCTGAAGGGATCTGAAGGGACACGGGCAGCCTGGCCCCGAGGACCTCCGAGAGCCTCTGGAGGCCGCCAGGTGCGGGCAGGATTGATATCCACCTGGGCCTCGAGTGCTGGGAGGGCGATGACTGGGGGGGCAGCGAGGGCTGCAGAACAGGGGCCCGGCCCCTGAAGGTGCTTGCTTTCTGCTTTTGGGGGGCCCGAGAGCCTTTCTTCCCCCCCCCCCCCTCCTTTACTGTGCTTCCAGAGGTTCGCGCCCAATGCACACCCACGGCGCCCTGCTCTTCGGGGGGAAAGGGGCGCCAAGAACCCGAGACGTAGTGGCGTAGTGGCGGTGCATGACATCTGGCATCTCTCTCTCTATCTATCTATCTATCTACCTATCTATCTATCTACCTATCTATCTATCTATCTATCTATCTATCTATCTATCTATCTATCTATCTATATATCTATATATCTATCTATCTATCTATCTATCTATCTATCTATCTATCTATCTATCTATCTATCTATATATCTATCTATCTATCTATCTATCTATCTATCTATCTATCTATATATCTATATATCTATCTATATATATATATATCTATATCTATCTATCTATCTATCTATCTATCTATATATATATCTATATATATATCTATATATCTATCTCTATATATATATATATCTATCTATCTGTCTATCTATCTATCTATCTATCTATATATCGACCTATCTATATATCTATCTATCTATCTATCTATATATCTATCTATATATCTATATATCTATCTATATATATATAACTATGTATATATCTCTATATATGTATATATACATATATATATATATTTCCCTATATCTATATCTCTCTCTATATAGGTATCTGTATATATCTATATGTTTATATATATAGGGCCAAGTGTCGGTCCATGCCCACCTGCGTCCGGAGCCTTCCAGAGGAGGGCGCCCGAAAGTCTGAAACGCGATGGGCCTAGGTGTTGCCCGCAGCGGGAACCTCCGAAACCCTCCACCAGGGCTCACGCGACGGGGTCAGCGCCGACAGGGATCGCCAACCTCCTCTGGCTCCTCTGGCTGACCCTGGTCTGGGAGCCACGTGGGGTCGATTCCCCCTTGCCGCCCTCCGCTGACCAGGGCTTGGGAGCTACTCAGCGGTTGGCCGGGCTTCGCAACGGGGCCCAGGCCGACCCTGGGCGCGTGGTGATTTGGATTGGTCGGACGGGGCCAGGGCAAGGATGGAGATCCGTTGCAGGGCGTGCCAGGACGCTCTCAGAGCGCCCCGCGACGCTCTGAGAAGGCCACGGCGCCCGAGACATCCTCCACGGCCACTGGATCGCCGGACCGCCGGATCTCACCTCCTCCTCCTCCTCCTCCTCCTCCTCCTCCTCCTTCCTCCTCCTCCTCCTCCTCCTCCTCCTCCTCCTCCTCCCCCCCTCCCCCTCCTCCTCCTCCTCCTCCTCCTCCTCGCCCGTCCTCCTCCTCCTCCTCCTCCTCCTCCTCCTCCTCCTCCTCACCCGTCCTCCTCCTCCTCCTCCTCCTCGTCTTTTTCTCCTCGTCTCGGCTCCTTCACTCGTGCGCCCCCGACGCCCGCGCCCGCCGCCCGGGGCTGCCCCGGGGCGGGCGCGCCCTGGCCCCGCCCAGGCCGAGGAGCGCAAGAAGGTCGCGGGGCTGCTGGGGCTCGGCTCGGAGCGCGCGGCCGAGGCGGGAGGGCCTCGCTCGCCCTGCCGTGGACCTTCGGGCCCGCCGTGCTCTGGTGGACTCCTCCCCCTCCTCCTCTCCTCCTCTCCTCCTTCCTCCCTCCTCCTCCTCCTCCTCCCTCCTCCTCCTCCTCCTCCTCCTCCTCCTCCTCCTCCCCCCTCCTCCTCCTCCTCCTCCTCCTCCTCCTCCTCCTCATCCTCCTCCTCCTCCTCCTACTCACTCGCCCTGCCCGGACTTCGTACCCGCCGTGCTCTGGTGGACGCTCCGACGCGGAGCTGCGCCGGAAGGGCGCCCCAAACAGTGCGAGGCAAAATGGCGGAAATGTCCGCGCCCATTCCCCCCCCCTCCCCCCCTCCCTCTCCCCTGGCCCAGGCTTCGATCGACAGAATCGTGACGTTCGCAAGGGGTCCCCTGCCTGGTACCACTCCCGTCGGCCTCGAAGAGGTGTTTGTGCCGCCGCGAGGGGGCAGTGACATGTATCCTGCCATTGCAGATGTCTCAGGAAGAGACAGCGCGTAAACTTCCACAGAGCTGTGGCGGCAAAAGGCGACGGCAAGGTGGGGCGGAACTCGGCGTCAGAGGAGCTCCACAAGCAGGGCGGCGATTTCCGCCCGGCCTGCGAAGGCCACCAAAGGTACGGCGGATCCGAAGTCGGGGACGCCTGTCGGTGGGTTCCCGGCGGTCGGCTGCGGGCGAGGGGGGAGGAAGTTTCGGGTTCGAGGCCCGAGGTTTGCGGGCGTTTGCGTCAGGTCTCGGCGGTTCTCCGACCTCGGGATGCTTGCCAGCAGCTGCGCCTCGCCGAGGGCGTTTCGGGGGTGCCCAGATCGTCCCGAACGCCCGCGGGAGATCCGAGTCATGGCCCCAAGACCACGTTCGGGGGCGAGCGAGGGGGGGGGGGGGATGAGAAGGAGAAGGCCTTCTCAGAAGGCGGCGGGACTCCTCAGAGAAGCCCTCGCGCCTTCTGGGAGGTGTCTTCTGGGCGGCTTCAAGGCTTAGAGAACGCTTCTGAGAAGGCCGGGGGATGTCCGAGCCTTGGGAGAAGGCCCGCCCCTTCTGCCACCATCGCCGTGGGCGTCCCTTCCTATAGATACGTTGCATTCCGACGACAGCACGACCAGGCATGGCCGCAAGGATTGCCTGATTGCTGGATTTGTTCGATGCCAAAAAATACCCTTCACCCCAGGCTCGCCGCCGACTTGATTCTGTGAGGGACACCACCACCACCATTCGAAATTCGCTCATTTAGGCATTCCCAGAACGACCATCGCCCAAGCGACCGTACCCAAAACGACCATCCCCCACTCGCCCAGGCATGCTCAAAAGCACTAGTAGAATATATAATGCCAGCGTACGCACTTCTTACGCATGCCCAACGACCCCACGCGCGCACTTTCAGCACGCAAACCTACTTGGGCCTCCCAGGGTCGTAAAATAATTAAAGCGGACCCAAACCCATCGGTCCAGTCATCGGCCCTTCCTTTTCTACAATTGTTTTTCTACGGACCTCTGCAGCGCAGTTCTCTTCACCAAGTCACATAAAAGTAAAACGTTACATCCAGGGTGGGAAAAAGCTTGTCTCCAACAGAGCCGCCGGAGCCTGCTCAGCAGGCCGGTGGGGCAGCAGCAGGAGGACAAGAAAGAAGAAACTAAGAAAAGAGAAGAGCAAAAGAAAAATGAAAAAGGAGAGAGAGAGAGAGAGAGAGAGAAGGACAGAGAAAACGAAAGGAACACGAAATAAGGGAAGAAAGCAAGGGCAGAGAAAGCAGGCAGCAACGAGAAGCAACACAGGGAGAGGGAGGAGGGGGGAGAAGGGGGGAGAAGGGCACAAGCCCACGTGCACGGCAAACGCGCAGCGCGCGCGCCCTGCGCTCCACGCAGGCGGCCAGAGAGAGCGGAAAGAGGAGGGGCAGGAGGAAGACGAACGACGAGCAGCGGCAGCAGCAGGCAGCGAACCAAGCAGGAAACGAACAACAGAGAAAGGACAACGAAGACAAGAAGACAGGAAAGAAGAACAAACAAAAGGCGGGAAGAAAGGCTGGGGAAAAAACAAGGACGGGGAAGAGGAATAACGAAGACGAAAGGAAGAGGAAGAAGAGACACAAGACAAACAAATCGTGGCTTTCTCAAGAAAAACCGCCCGGGCTCTCTGGGGGGATTACACTTCGGCAGTCGTGCACCAAGCAGAAAAGTTTCGAATCCTGTGAAAAGCTCAAGGGATCCGCCATGAAGATACCTCGGGCCAGCCAGGCCCGAGAGTGGAGGCGAACGGAGAAGCTCTGACAGGGAACGCCGAAAACGTCCGCACATCACCTGCCGCAGCAACAGAGGACGGCAGCACGTTGTGCACGCGGGCCCCGCCCGGTGCGGAACGGAGCAGGTAATCGGGTGCCCGCGTAGAGCACGGGTCCACCTAATGCCGCGCGCGCCGCCGCGCAGCACGAGGAGTTGGCATCGATGGTATCCACAGCGAAGAATTCTGCAGAACACGCCGGCCCCAGGCCCAAGACAGTTCTGTGGATCAAGCCTAGATTAGCACTGTCCTGGCGGGGCGCCAGAGAGAAGCCATATTAAAGCTATGCAGAGCCTCTTCGTCGGAGATTCCGACAGCACGCAGACAGGACGACTGTAGTCGGTCGAGCGGCAACAAGACATAATTCGGCGGGTGATAAAAGGCACACGTCCTATATTCGATGACAGAAAGAATGTGCGCCTTGTACAGGAGGGCAACCTCGGAGTCCGTGTGGAAGCGCCGCGAAAGCAAAAGTGGCTGCAATCTCCAACCTGCACGCATTCCTGTACAACGTCTAACATAATTAGTGTACAACCGAGAGTGACGCCAAGAGTTTTAAAGTTGCCTCCAGACGGCCTGCTGCGGGACACAATGTGTTTGCTGTCTTTGGAAGGCTCGAAAACAACATCGCTTGCGCGGCCCCAATCGCGTAGACAATTCTGGCACTGCTCTATAGCATTGCAAATTTCAGAGTCAGAGGAGGAAGAAAGGAAAAGACGGAACGCAGTGAGATCGTTTGCATAAACGACTTCTTGAAAGCGTAAACATGCAATTGCTTCTTTTGCGTCGTTGAAAAATATCTTCCAGAGAGGTGGCCCGAGCACAGTGCCTTGATACACCATGTCTTTCATGGGTACCTGACGGGAGAAAACTCCGCCCACAGCAACACGGGCTCGCCGGGCTTCCAGCCAGCTAGAAAAAACAGCGCACAAGGAAGGCAGAAGCCCCCAAGAACGGAGCTTTGCTCGCAATCGGTCCGAATTCACTTTGTGAAAGTCACCAGAAAAGTCATAACTAGGAAGTCCGATACGATGGCCTTCAGAAAGAAGGAGGAGCCACGTCAGCAGAAAATGCGAAATTGCATCGCGAGCACCGCGCCCTGGAGTATAAGCGAATTGAAAATCTCCATAACACATTGAATTACACACAAGCGGCGCTAAGAACGACAACAACATGCGTTCCACGCACTTTTAAATCTGCGGCGTAAGATGGACCCCGCGGTCATTCGAAGGATCGTGCTGCGATCCGCGCTTGTGAAGAGGGCAAATGTGGTGCAACCGCCAACAATATGGCCATTTGCCTTCACGAAGAATCGAGCGGGTTAGAAAAGCGATAGGGCGAGCAAGAGAAGCGGCACAAGAAATGAGAATACGCACCGGCACAGCGTCTGGCCCAGTGGCGGAATCTCGCTGCGACGCTGCGCGTGCGGACTGGAAAAAATACGCATTTTCGACTGTAAGGCGTTGTGGAATCACAGAAAATCCGTTCGCCTCCAACTGCGGGATTTCTCCACCGATCAGAAAATCTATTCGCAAATATATATATATATATACAGGCGCCATTGACCCGGCGTGAAGCAGGAGAGGTGGACTTGACAATTTTACCAAGCAGTTCGTTGGACAGTCGCCACCGAGATTTCGGGCCGCGTGGGAGCGCCCTCAATCTTGAACGAATTCTGCTGCAATGCGCATTAAATGAATTCAAAAGAATACGATTGCAACGTTGCACAGCACACGGATATTCTGGTGTTTCTGCCGCCTGAGCTTTCAAAGACATTGCATTGAAACATTATTCTGCTAACCATGGGTGGCTAGACTGAACAGGAATTTGAATACGCGGCACGTGCCTTTCTGCAGCTTGCAAAATAACGCGAGTTAGATAATCTGCACCTGCATCAGGATCACCACGAACAAGACTCAAATCCAAAGAATCAAGCTCGCGGGACACTGCCCTTAAATTCGATGCATTAAACTGCCAACGTGCACGGGCCGACACGGAAATAGACAATGGAGGGAAAGACAAAGACAGAAGAACGACACGATCTGCAATGCGAGGCAACATTGTAACATCAGCATGTTCGCGCTAAATCTAACAAATTCTGCTCCCTCGTGGGGTCCCGTACGAGTTGCTTGAAACCATGAAATGAACACAACCGAGCTGCCTCAATGCCTTCCGGCGTGCTCCGGATCGAATGTCGAAGCCAAACCGGATTGTGCACATTGAAATCGCCGACAAAAAATGTGCCGATTGCATTGGCAGCATGGCTCTCGAATTCTTCAAACAAACTCTGCAAATAAGCAATCTCGGCGTAACAAGGAGGACTATACAAACAGGCAAATAAAACAGGACCATAATCAAAATGAAAGACAAGCCAACAACACTCTGCCGTTGTCGAATTATCAAGTGAAGAAACCAACGGGACAACACAATCGAGAACAACAACTGCTACGCCACCACCACAACCGTTTCTGTCTTTCCTGCAAATGCAAGTGCGCTCGTGTAACATAGGACTGGAAGCTCGATCGAATCGAGTTTCATTCAGGACAATGAGACCAGGACGGGAAGGCAAAAGGGAAATGCGAGCCTCCAGCTCAGCCTGCGAAGAGAAAGAACCCTGGATGCTCAAGTGCAAAATGGTGAAGTTCGAAAAGTCGAAGGAGGATGTAACCTGGCTTCACCTAGGTCTCCTCCTCCTTGAGGTAAAGATTGCTCGTTTTCACAAGGCTTGAAAAAGTACTCGTGAAGCGAAATCTGGCGAGAATTTCCCGCGCGAAGTTTAGGCTCCAAAATGGTTGCAGACGGTCTCTGCGGAGTAAGGCAATTCGAGAATTCTCAGTTCGAGAGCTCCGGATTAAGGCAACTCGGAAAATCCGGAGTAAGGCAATTCGAGAATTCCGGGTTAAGGCAATTCGAAAAACTTGAATTAAGGCGGTTCGACACAACAAAATCATTAGAGTGCATCGGAGCAGCGCAAACCGTACTCGACGATGATACCAAAGATTTGAGTGCTTAGCGACGCTGGATCGAAGCGATAGATCGTGGGCCTCGACGTCTGAGACGCACATTGCCCTGCACAGAATTCTAAAACCTGGAACTGCAATACCCGGGGACCGCACGCAAGCAGCTACGCTGCGGGCGAGGGTAGAACATGCAAAGTGCGAAGTCCCCCCGAATCCCAACGGGAAACGGAGGTCCTGAACGGGATCATGGAATTCACCTTCTAAATCCCCAGCGTGCTGAATGAAGCCGACCTTATCACAAATTAAAATGGTGCGGGTCATGAAATCGGCACTCACGGCATCATTTTGCACGTTCCGATGTGATTTAATCAGCTCCAGCGCTTTTCTGAAACACCAATATCTCTGCAAATTCATATGCGTCTTCGCTGCTTTTACTTTCAGAATGTTCGACTGGCTCTTGCAAGATTTCTCTTTTGCCACCTCCAGAAATGTTGACGCTGCCTCTGGATTCGCGGCGACAAGGGCGACGACGAGGAGAACGAACCCGCGGAGAACGAACCCGCGGATTCAGTGCCGTGCTGACGCAAAAGGGGGCGGGGAAGCAGAGGAGGAGCGGAGGAGGAGCGGGAGGGACGGGGGGGGGGGGGAACGGGGGGGGGGGCGGGGCGGATTGCCAAGCTATCAGATCCTCCCCGTTCTCTCCCCACCCTTCCACCCTTCGCTCGTACTGAGGCGGAGGGCAGAAGGAGAATCCCACTGCGTACCAATCCACTCCTACAGCACTCCACCTTTCCCCCTCTTGTCTCGGGGGCGGCACGGGAGAATCGGGGATGGGGAAGGGGGAAAAGGGAAGGAAACGAGGAGGGCTGCCCACTGATCGAAGAAAGACAAGCGGCATGAGAGCACAGGGGGCCCGAGCGGATTTCTTGGCTCGGCGCTGGGCCCCTCCTTCGGGCGCGTCCAGCGCAGCCTGGACGCGCCGCCAGGGAGGGGGCCCAGCGCCGATCCAGGCAAGCGGCGCGGACGTCCGACGGCTCGTGCTGCCATCCGCGGCCCCCTCGGCGGCCCTCTCGGCGGCCCTCGCGGCGGCCCTCTCGGCAGCCCTCTCGGCGGCCTTCTCGCGACCTTCCGGCGGCTCTCGAGCGGCCTCGTGGCGGCCTCTCGGAGGCCGGCGGCGGGCGGCCCTCGGCGGCCCCCCGAGGCGGACCTGGACTCCGCACGGGCCTCCCTGGAGCAGCTGCTGCAGGCGCGCGAGAGGAGCGCGGCCGAGGCGGAGCAGCAGCGCCTCGCCCGCGAGGGTGCCGCTCTGGCGGAGCAGCAGCGGCTCGTTCAGGACCCGGATCAGGGGGGGAAGAAACACACAGGCACAACTCATCGTCGACTCTCAGGAAAAGATGCAAACATATTGGAAGTGGGGGGGAAGGCGAAAACCCCCCAAATATGGGAAAGTATTGGGAATCCTGTGATTTGTGTGTGTATTTATTTGTGTGTCCCAGGGTCACTTCACCAGAGCGGAACAAAAGCAGCGTGAGCAGCCGTACCAACCCTTTTCTCCGTATGAGGCGACTGCTTGCGTGAACGCTCCACATAGTGGAGGCCTATGCCAAGAAACACCTTGCTTACCTCCATGGTGCCCTGGGTTTCTTGGGTTTCGATGGTTTTGCCATGGGAAGCGTGACCAGCCCACACCAAAAATCCATGGACGTCCTGGGGTCTCAGGGTTGGGTTTCTTGTGGAAGGCTTCCTGTGGCATGGCCTCCATTGTACAAAATAACACATCGCGAGATATGCACGATCTGCGCTGCCCTGCACTCCGCCGTGCATCCCAGGAGCCCACGAAAAATGGCGACAGCTGCGCAGTTCGCAGCCCCCCGAGGGAGCCGCGAGGTCTCGAAGTGAGCTGCGCTGCCCTCACCTCCGCCGTGCCTCCCAGGAGCCCACGGAAGCAGGGACGGCTGCGCAGTTCGCAGCCCCCGAGGGAGCCGCGGGGTCTCGAAGCGAGCTGCGCTGCCCTCGCCTCCGCCGTGCCTCCCAGGAACCCGCGGAGGTGGCGACAGCTGCGCGGTTCGCAGCCTCCCAGCTGGAAAGGTGCAAGCAAGGGAGGCAAGGAGGCAGGAGGCAGGAGGAGAAGGGAGGAGGAGGCAGGAGGCAGGAGGAGGGGGGAGGAGGAGGCAGGAGGCAGGAGGAGGGGGGAGGAGGAGGAGGAGAGGAGGCGGAGGAGGGGGAGGAGGAAGAGGAGCGGGAGGGGGAGGATGGAAACCAGAGTGCTGCATTCGAACCTAGAGCCCAACACAGCAGGGCTGAGACAACTTGCGCAAACATAATTTCTCGGATGTCCGCGCGGACTGAGCAATTATGTTCATGCCGCTTTGTGATCGTTTTCTTATTCATTGTTTTGCCGATCGGCGCGGGCCCTCTCCCCCCTTCCCCCCATGGAGTAGATCCTGGCTGTTCTTGGCGCCTGTTTCGAGCGGGTGGAGTCTCCCCCGCAGGACGTATTGTTGCAACCAGTCGCATGAAGCAGAGGGCTGGAGCCAGACCCTCCCCTCCCCCTCCCTTCCGCCCAATGTCGAAGCGCCGAATCAGAACATGCTCGTGGACCTGCTCCTCCTCCTCCTCCTCCTCCTCCTGCTCCTGCTCCTGTTCCTCCTCCTCCTCCTCCTCCTCTTCCTCCTCCTCCTAGGCGTCAGGACCATGGGTCCGAGTATTTCGGCGCCCGTTAAGTCCCGACCCCAGCGCCACAGGCTGGCGCGACGCCATGGGAGCGCCCTGGCTGGCCAAGCTCATCAGCGGCGGCATGTTGCTCACCTTCCTGAAGTCCCACGGCCCCTCGACCCGGAACACCCTGGTGGAGGCCGACCTGGGCGAGATCAACATCCAGCTGAAGGAGCAGGCCAAGGCCAAGGGCGTCAAGGCCATCTTCCCGATGCAAGGCAACTTCGAGGACAAGCAGAACGAGTTCGAGAGCATCGTCAAACCGATCCTGGTGAAGGATGGCGCTAATCAGATCGACAAGGTGGTGCAGACCAGCTCCGAGGACATGCAGAAGAAGCTCGAGAGCATCGCCAACACGATCGTGATGAAGGCCGATGGCAAGGAACCGATCCTGGTGAAGGGTGGTGGCAACCAGATTGACAAGGCGGTGCAGACCAGCTCCGAGGACAAGCAAATGGAGTTAGAGAGCATCGCCAAACCGATCGTGACGAAGGACGGGGGCAAGGAGATCGAGACGGCGGTGCAGGCCAGCTCCGAGGACCAGCAGAAGGAGTTCGAGAGCATCGTCAACCCGATCATGATGAAGATCGAGACGGCGATGCAGGCCAACTCCGTGGACAAGCAGATGGAGTTCGAGGGCATCGTCAAACCGATCGTGACGAAGGACGGGGGCAAGGATATCGAGACGGCGGTGCAGGCCAGCTCCGAGGACCAGCAGAAGGAGTTCGAGAGCATCGTCAACCCGATCATGATGAAGATCGAGACGGCGATGCGGGTCAGCTCCGTGGACAAGCAGAAGGAGCTTGAGAGCATCGTCAATCCGACCCTGATGAAGGTGGGCGTGCAGTCCCACGTGCGCCCTCTTGTTCAAGACATGGATCGAGGTGTCGGAGTCGTCCTCGCGCGGCGTCGCGAAGCAGCTGTATTCCAGAACTGCGGCGCCCATCGTGAGGCGCGCGCTGGAGTAGCCCCTACGCTCTCGGCGCAAGGTCTGCCGAAGTTGCGGGAGAGGGCACGTTGGCATTGCTGTGGCATTGCTGAACCCTCTTCGGCTGCGGAGGAGTCGGACGTATGACTGTGCGTAGTAGCGGCCAGGGAGTAGTCGCTGCGTTTTCGGGCTTCGTGGGCTGAGTAGCCACCGCGATCCGCGGCAGATCTGTTGCAGCCAGCTTTGCCGCTCTCCGTCTTTCCCCGCTCTCTCCGCCTGTCCTGTTCCCCCTCTTAGATCGCAGACCTGTAGGAAATCCTGGGACAAATCCTCATCCTCCTCCTAGGCGGCTCCGAGGGGGAGCCCGCGCCCGTTTCGCCCACGGGGCGGGCGGGCACGGCGGGCCCATCGCGGCAGCCCCCAGCGCCCCTGGCGCGAGCCCGCCCTGGACCCACGGAGGAGGGTTCGAAGGCCAGCAGAGTGAGGCGGCGCAGTCCGTCGCCGTCCTGGCACCGACGCCAGCGCCGCCTGCGAGCGACCGCGCGCCAGGTGCTCCCGGCGGTGAAGCTGCAGACCATGCTCGCGGAGCACCGCGGCGGCGCGATCCCGCAGATGGGGCGCGGCGGTGGCAGCGAGGGCAGCCAGGGCAAAAGAGGCCAGGGAAGCTGGTGCAGCGACGACGGCGGCCAGGACAAGAACTGGCACGGAAGAGAAGGAGGAGGCAGCAGCGGCAGCGGCAGCGCTGGTGAGTGGAGTGGCGGCAAGAGCAATGCCGCTATCATTGGTGACTACGTGGTGTGCAAGTGCTTCTCGGAGTGGTGGTACGCGGACCGCCTATGCGACGTGCAGCGCGTGTGCTCCTGCGGCCAGCTGCTGCCTGGCGCAGGCAAGGCAGCCAAGAAGCAGAAGCAGCAGCAGCAGCAGCAGCAGCAGCAGCAGCGCCAGCCACAGCAGCTACTCGCGCTCCTCGGCGCAGGCGGAGGCCAGCAGAGCGCCAAGGATCGGGGCAAAGCTGGCGCGGCAGAGGTCGCCCAAGCCCTCCAGATGGTCACCAGCGCCCTCAGTGGCATTCATATAGCGAACGGAGAGGCCATCAGGAAGCAGCTTGCGGGGGCAACGGCGGCGTGGCAGGCGGCCACGCCAGCAGCGACGCCCCAGCAGTCGAGAGCGGCAAGGCTCGCCGCCGCGGCCAGGACGCTAGAGACGGCCAACAGACAGCACGCAGCGGCTTTCAAGGCAAAGCAGGAGGCAGACCACGCGGCCGAGAAGGCGAATACCTGGCTCGCGGAGAAGGCTGAGGCGGCGGAGGACGCTGAGGACACGATCGAGAAGATCAACGCCGAAGGGAAGCCGACGGCGAAGACCCCCTAGGTCATAGTCGAGCAGCTCATCGGCGGCGCGGTCGACAACCTCTCAGAGCCGGCGGACGCATCCAAGGAGTTTGACCTGGCGGAGGAGGACCTCGACGACGAGGCACGGAAGGAAGTCGCTGCGGCCACGGCGTTGGCGGTGGCGCAGCTGAGGGCCAACGCGTAGAATTTCGCGGGCCAGCTGCGCGAGCGCCTGGCGACGGCCAAGGAGAAGGCGCAGGAGCAGAAGAGGGCGATCACGCTGGCGGCGAAGAAGAGGAAGGCCGAGGCAGGACCTTCAGCGGGGACCCTGCCCGCGCAGCCTGCGCCTGCACAACCAGAAGAGGCATCGGGAGACGTTGCCGGAGGCGGAGCATTTGCAGCCAGCGCACCACCCCCATCCGAAGCAGCAGAAGAGTACCTTCGTGAACTCCGTGAGTCTTAGGGAGGAGGCAAGGGCGCAGAGGGCGCCGATGGCTGACGCCAGGCGCGAAGAGGTTGCCGTGAACTAGGTGGCGGCGGCGAGGTCCGAGAGCGCACTCTGTTCACCGCCAACCTAACCACGCGGGGGCCCACTGCGCGACAGTGGTTTGAGAAGCATGAGGAGGAGCAAGGCCACGACGCCTACGCGCTCCAGGAGACGCACATTCCAGGAGGAGAAGCCTTGGACAAGGAGGAGCAGTGGCTTGTCAAGACAGGGTACAAGCCACGCTTCACGGCAGCGAGGGCGAGCGCGGGCGCAGAACGCGGAACCGGCGGGGGCGCGGCAGTCATCGTCCGAGGTCGCCTGCGAGCTACCAGCTTCAGAGCGAGGGCCGTGCCTGCATCGACCGCGGCGGCCACGACCAGCATAGGGAAGCACGCGAGGGACGTGGACATGTGCGACTGGGCGCCAGTCACTTGGCACCTGACGGGCACGTCCACCACGGTGATCAGCCTCTACCTGGATACGGGCCTGCCGCTGAAGGAGGGTATCAACAGCAGGAAGCTGACGAGCCTGTTGGCGTTCATCCGAGGTCTGCGCGGAGCCCGGATCATCTGCGGCGACTTCAACAAGGAACCCCGGGAGTTCTGGGAGTCGGGCTGGCCAGAGGCGATAGGGGCCACCAAGCTCACCACCCTCCCCGATGGAGACCACGCGTGCGTCATGGGGAACAGCCAGTCGAAAATTGACTACACAATGGTCAACAAAGAAGGCGCAAGCTTGGTCAAGGGAGAGGCAGTCTTCGAGGTACCCTGGAAGCCCCGCATCGGCATCAGGATCGCGCTCCACGGGGAAGCGCAGGCCACCAGGACGAGAGGTTGAACATGCCAATGGCTTCCCCGCACCCGCCAAGACCGAAGACACAACCCACGCCCAACAGTAAGCGCTCGAGGAAGAGGCAGGTTCAGAGAGAAGCACAGCAGCAGGCAGAGGAGGCGGCGAAAGCGGCGTGCCCAGAGCAGCTACCACCCAGGATTGAGGAGGATATCACCCTGGACAACAGAAGATGGGAAGCACTGACGTCGAGCGGCGGATGGCAGTCTTACCCCTGCATGGGCTACCACCAGCCAGGACATGGCTCGGAGGGCAGCCCAAGGCGAGAAGATAGGCCTATAGCCGCGCGCATCGCCCGCGGGAGACCACCGGGCCCCCCCTACTTCGGGAGGCCTCATCGACGCCTAGTGGCAGGTCCCTGGGGCCCAGGCCAGGAGGCAACAGACGCTCCACGATGGGCGGCGAGGACATCGACCCCTTCGACCAGATCAGCCAGTCCTCCAACATCGACGAGATAGGACCGCAGGACTTGGGGGGCTTCGGGATCCACGGCCCCCCAGCAGGAGGAGGAGGAGATAGCGAGGAGGCGCCGCGCCCAGAGGAGGAGCAGCGCAGTAGCGATGACGGGGCCCCAGGCGGACGGCCACAGCAGTGAACACCATCGAGGCAAAGACGGATGAGAAGAAGAGAAAGGGTGGAGGCCGAGACACCACAATTTTTGGCCACGTCTGGGAAGCGACCAGCCTGATAGAGGACGGGAACTCGCACGACACGGAGACGCCTGACTACATCAGTGCGAACGCGGCGTACCAGGTCAGCGAGGTGGACGCTCGAGCACTCGGCAAGATGTTCGAGAATGCAGTCGGCACTGTCGAGCGCTTCTACTGCATGGCCTACAGGATAGACCCAGGCGACAGAAGACGGTGCATGGGTAGAGGCCAAGGCTACAAGCTGGAGGGGAGCGACAACAGGGCTCGAGACAAGGGTGAAGTTCAAGGACAAGAGAGCGGACTGGTGGACCAGAGCGGAGACCGCGCTGAGCTTGCTGGACAAGCTGAGGGCGAGAGGAAGACGACTGAAGCAACGGGAGGAGCTGGCGCGGGCAGGGCGCACGCTGGCGCACACCCTGTCACAGCTGCAGGGCTCACCATCAGACACATCGCTGCTACACTACCAGATCTGGAGGGACAGGCTCCAAAGGCTGGAGGAGATCGCAGACGACGTCACCGGGGGAATGGCGATGCAATCAGGGACAGAGAGGCAAGCGGCGGTGAGGCGCGACCACAGGGAACACACGAGGAGCTTCTGCCAGTGGCTTGCGGACACGGAAGCAAAGCCAGGAGTCCTGCACCGCATCGCCAAGCGAGATGCCACGCGAGAAGCACACCGCCATCCTGGCGGAGCTGCGAGGGTAGGCTATGAAGACGCAGGAGGCCGTCTGGAGCCTGGAGGACCTGGACTCGGCGCTGAAGGGCGAGCCCGATCGAGGCCATGGGGTCGACAGGCTCAGCTGCAGCGACTTGAGGAGGCTCCCACCCGAGGGCAAGCAGGCCATCGTGGATGTGTTCAACGAGTGCGAACGCAAGCTGATGTGGCTGTGGCAGCTCCTCTGTTCGCTGGTGATGGTTCTGCCCAAACCAGCCAAGGGCGATCGGGCGCTGGCAATGCCGCCGCAGCTAGTCCGCACGTGGGAACTCCTCCACAGGCCAGCTGTCCGACAGTGGGCCAAGGCACAGGAGAAGGACTGGGATGCGGCCACGGCGGGCAACAGCTGCTTGCGTGAGGCAATGCGGAGGACCGTCACCGACGAGTGCTTCGATGAGCTGAAGATCTGTCAAGGGCGCACGCTTGCGGACAGAGAAGTTCTACGACAGCCTGCGGCTGGGCGCGCTGATTCCAGAGGCGCTGGGGATGAACTCCAACCCGCGGGTCCTGACCATGCTGATGTTACAGCACTCGAGCACGAGGTTCCTGACGTGCAAGGGCATCTACTCGTGCGCGATCCTTGCAGACGAGTCGATGTTGGAGGGATCGCGCCAGTCCATCAACATCGCCAAGACGGTGGCATACGCAGTCATCGCCAACTTGCTGGACAGGGCGCGGGGCGCACCGACGCCCATGCCAAGGGCGTGGTTCGACGACATCAGCATCATAACCATGGGAAGCATGGGGGAATTTGAAGAGCAGATGGTCGCCTCCACCTGGCGGGCAAGACAGACTCCCTCCACCGCCAAGAAGATCGGCGCGCAGCTCAAGCAAAAAGGGGTCACCGTAAAGGCTGTACGTGAAGGGCGAGACCTGGGTGCAGACAGAGCGGCTAAAGGCACCGCGGCCCGCAGAACGCATGGCGCGCGAATGCAGGCAGCGGAGCAGCGGCTCAGACAGGTAGGAGGTGAGCTCAGGAGGCTGAAGCTGAGGAGACGCAGATGGGTAGCACACCAGGGGCCAGTCGCATCCCTGAGGCATAGTGCAGTCATCCACGGGCTCAGCCCAGCAGCCATGCAAAGAGTCAGGAGAAGATGCGCCCAGGCGCTGAGGAGAGCCTGGCCCAGGCGATGCTTGACCACATTCCTCGCGCTGGAGGGCATCGACCCCAAAACCACCATCACCAGGGGCCAGCTGAAGGCTTGGTTCGACCTCTGGAGAAAATGCCTGGCATCAGAGCTCGGGCTAAGAGAGCGCGGCCAAAGGTGTACTTCAGGCTGGCGAACGCCAAGGAGGAGCAGAGATTGAGGCAGCGACGAGGAGTCATGGGCAGCATCATCCTGATGCTCTGGGCAGCGGGCTGGGACTCACGAGGACCAGACATATGGATCGACCAGACGGAGACACGTGGAAGTTCCCCGAGGGCCAGGAGGACGGAGACCCGAGGGCCCGAGGACATCATCAAGTCGATCCCGAGGGACATCGCCCAGCTGCAATGGGCAGAGGCGGCCCAACATCACAGCGGAGGAGGAGCAGCAGGAGGCATAGACAACGCGGACACTACCAAGCACCTGGAGGCGCTGAAAAAAAAGGGAACTACTTGGAGCACTTCGCGCTGGTCACAGCTGCCTGCACAGGTACATGGACAAAAGACAGGCGTGCGAGGCGTTTCGGGCGCGAGGACAATCGGTGCGAGTGCGGCGAGATCGACGCAGACCTGCGCCGCATCTGGGGCAACTGCTCGGCAGGGGAACAGCGCGTGATCTACGAGAAGACGGAAGGGCTCGCCTGGAGAGCTCAGGCAGAGGCGGCGACCAACCCGATCTTCTGGCTCAGAGGTCTTGCACCAGCATCGTGGACTACCCCAGCGCCATGCTGCACTGAGGAGGGCAATGAAGTCAGCACTGGCGAAGCGCAATCACCACGCCGACTTCGAGCAGCAGATGGTAAAGGGCTTGTCGCCAGCGGATACGGCTCCGGAGGCGAGTGCAGCAGCGACGACAGATGCAGGCGATGCGGATGGAGTTGGATCATCCTGGACAGCGCCACCAGGCGCGAGAACTTCGACGTCAAGGCGGGCCAGCATGGGGCCCTCCCAGGAAGCAAGCAGACGAACAACAGAGCAGAGCTGTACGCGCTCATCCGCTGCCTCGAGGCGACGGAAGGACCCGTCGCGTTCTGGGCCGACAGCGAGATCACCTTCATCGACTGGCGAGAGGAGAGGGACAACAGAGAGGAGCAAACGGGCACCAACGGCGACTTGTGGAAGAGGATGCGCGCAACGCTCCGAGCCAGAGGAGGAGAAGGCCGCCAAGAAGTGAAGGTCAAACACACGAACAGCCACATGACGGAGGAGGAGGCCGCTGCCAAAGGGATTCCACGAGAAGCATGGGAAGGTAACCGAACAGCGGACAAGCTCGCGGAGCGAGGGGCGCATAGTCATGCCATACCTAGGAACGAGATGAGCTGCTACGAGTGGGCCAGAGCCACAGCCGCGCTGGTGAGAGCTCGCATCGCCATCAGCACGAAGGACGCCATTGCCAGGAGGCCAGGAGTAAGCAGGGAGGTGAAAATAACGCGGCAAAAGGAGGCCCAAGCGAGGGAGGCGAAAAAAGGCAGCTCAAAGCATACTACTTCGGGAAGGAAGAGAAGAGGCCGCCCACCACGCACACTCTGAGCAGACCTCGCCGATGCACGGGATGGACCTGCACCTGCTGCAACCAGACGGTCATGAAGAGCTCCACGGACTTCGAGACCGTTAGGCGATGGTTCAAGGAAGGCTGCGGCGGCCCGCCACCCCAGGAGGGCAGAAGCGTCAGCTACACGGTGCAGACGCACGCGCCTCACACCCGCCGAGATGGCTCAGTGGCCAGAAGAGGTGGTACTGCCGCATATTCGCCAGCTCGGTGACGGAGTACCTCAGCGACAAGATGCAGAGCGAGTGCGCGGGCAAGCCGAGCTGCGACTCCATGGCTTGCAAGCTGAAGCACTGGGAGGAGCTGGCCGACGCAGAGCACTGGCAGCGGGACGCGTCGCAACCTGCAGGATAAGGCGAGCCCCAGACGGACCGGAAGGGGCAGGATAACCATCACTCCAACGACGAGGTGAGGAAGGCGAGCCCGCGCCAGATGGTGAACCGCCCAGTCCTGGAGAAGTACGTGACGAACAAGAACCTGAGCCTGAGGCAGAGGCTGGGAAAGTGGCAGAGGCTGAGGCCGAGGCTCAGACAGAGGAATGCCCTGAGGAAAGATGGCAGAGGCTGGGGCGGTGGCTCGCGCAGGCGGCGCTGAGAGCGCAGAGACTGCAGAAGCAAGCAGCCCAGCCGACCGCACCGAGAAGAAGGAGGAGAGGACGGAGCTGGAGAGCGAGAAGACGGACGCACACGGCCAGCCTGGCAAAAGGAGAAGACCCAGCCTGGCCGAGTATGGAGGAACAAGCAGCGGGGAGGGGGGGCTGGGATTCAGCCCCTGGTCGTCACACCCCCCTTCCCACATGGAAAAACCCATTCTGCAAGAGAGCTGCAGGCTGTGGAGAACCAGCAGCTGGCGCGGAAGCCGCACCGCGAGCTCGACGCGGAGGCGCAGCGCGAGGGTTGGAGGCTGCGGAGTAGCAGCGGCGGGCGCGCCCATGCCCGCGGCGCCCTGAGCGGAGCCCCGCGGCACCGCGGGCGAGCGCGGGCGCGCCCGTGGAGGAGACGACATCGTCGTCGGGAGGATAGTCCAGGATACTCCTCGTCCTCCTCCTCCTCCTCCTCCTCCTCCTCCTCCTCCTCCCTCCTCCTCCTCCTCCTCCTCCTCCTCCTCCTCCTCCTCCTCCTCCTCCTCCTCCTACGTGTCCTCCTGTGCCAATGGGTTCTGCTGGGCGGTAAAAAAACAGGTGTGCTGCCCCCTGTTCCTCTCAGGACGCCGTCGCCAACATGACCAGGCGCGTGGAGGCGGACTCGGCGGCCCCTCGGCGGCCCTTCGGCGGTCTTCGGTCCTTCGGCCCTGCGGCGGCCTCCCGGCGGCCCTTCGCGCGGCGGCCCTATGCGGCGGCCCTTTTCGGCGGCCCTTTTCGGCGGCCTTCGGCGGCCACGGGCGGCCGCCGCTGGCGGTGGGCGCGCGCCAGGAGGAGGTCGAGGCGCGCGAGAAGGGTGCGCTCGACGCCGAGCGGAGGCTGGCGGGCGAGGCCGCGGCGATGGACGAGCAGCGGCGGCAGATCACCGAGATGCTCGGCCGGCTGGACGAGGAGTCGAGGCACGCCGACGCGAAGTCGGAGCTGGCCGCGGAGAAGGGGCGGAGGGCCGAGGAGGAGGCGAGGCAGCTTGAGGCGAAGGCGGGGGAAGCCGAGGAGAGGACGCGGCGGGCCGAGGCGAGCAAGCTGCAGGCCGAGGGGGAGGCGAGGCAGGCCGAGGAGGAGGCGAGGCAGGCCAGGGAGGAGGCGAGGCAGGCCGACGACAGGACCTGGCTATACGCGTCGGAGTGGCCCGTCGCCGGGACGGCTTTCGGTGCGCGGCCTCAAGCGAGCGACGAAGGAAAAACGGGGTCGCCGACACTGGCGCGCAGGCTGCTCGCGGAAGGTCGCGCGTAGGCGCCCTCGCTTCCGGCGTCAGGCTCCTGTGTGATCATCGCTCAAGGGGGGCGCGCGGGGGGCGGGGCTGAGCCCAAGCGCGCGGGCCGCCACGGACGCATCGCACGCAGCGCACCTGGCCGCGCACCAAGAGCTCGCTGCTGCCCAGGGGTCGCTCTCGTTGCGCGCGGCCGCAGGACCCGGCAGGCCAGGGAGCTGTCGGAGCAGGTCCTGGAGGAGGCGAACCAGGTCGAGGAGAGGCTAAAGCAGGCTCGTCCTCCTCCTCCTCCTCGTCCTCCTCGTCCTCCTCGTCCTCCTCGTCCTCCTCGTCCTCCTCGTCCTCCTCGTCCTCGTCCTTTTCCTCCTCCTCGTCCTCGTCATCATCCTCGTCCTGCTCCCCCATCCGACCCCTTCTCTTTCCACGGCCCACGGTGGACTTGCAGTCAAGACGGCGATATATGAACTGCTTTGGGCTCAGAAGTGGCCCTAGTTTTCTGGCCGTTCCTTAGACTCATGTCGTGGAGCCTGTTTGTGGCCTAGGCCCGCCGTGGCCAGAAAAAAACACGTCGGTCCTTGTCATGCGTCCCATGTGCTAGCACGACGACTGTATCTAGGAGGTGCTTTCAAGATGCCGTGGGGCTTTTACGCGATGTGGACATCATCGGATCCACACCCTCTACACACCACGCGCCAGCAAACGACCAAATCACTCCTCCAGCCACTTGGCAGGTCGAGGAGAAGACACGGCAGGCCGACGAGAAGGCGAGGCAGGCGGAGGAGGCGACGCAGCAGGCGGAGGAGGAGTCCAAGGAGGCCGGGGAGAAGACGGCGCGGGCCGAGGAGGAGGCGAGGCGGGCCGAGGAGAAGACGCGGCAGGCCGACGCGAGGGCGCAGGAGGTCGAGGAGGAGGCGAGGCAAGCCGCCGAGAGGATGAGCCAGGCCAAGGACGTCTCGCTGCTGGTCGCGGAGGAGGCGACGCAGGCCCAGGAGAGGCTGAAGCAGGCTCGTCCTCCTCCTTCTCCTCCTCGTCCTCCTCGTCCTGCTCCTCCTCGTCCTCCTCCTCGTCCTCCTCGTCCTCCTCCCCCTCCTCGTCCTCCTTGTTCTCCTCGTCCTCCTCCTCCTCCTCCTCCTCCTCCTCCTCCTCCTCCTCCTCCTCCTCCTCCTCGTCGTCCGCCTCGTTCTTCTCCTCCTCCTCCTCCTCCTCCTCCTCCTCCTCCTCCTCCTCCTCCTCCTCGTCCGGCGGGGGGGCGGGGGGATTTCCCCCTCCCCCCGACGGGAGTCCATCTCGCTTCGTCGGCGCGCCCCGCTCTTGGGGTGGGGATGAGGGGGGAGGAGGAGGGAGGAGGGGGGAGGGGGGAGGGGGGAGGAGGAGGAGGAGGAGGAGGAGGAGGAGGAGGAGGAGGAGGAGGAGGAGGAGGAGGAGGAGGAGGATGCGGCACGTGCGAGGAGGAGGAGGAGGAGGAGGAGGAGGAGGAGCGGAGGCGGAGGCGGAGGCGGAGGAGGAGGAGGAGGAGGAGGAGGAGGAGGAGGAGAGGAGGAGGAGGAGGAGGAGGAGGAGGCGGAGGAGGGAGGAGGAGGAGGGAGGAGGGAGGAGGGAGGAGGGAGGAGGGAGGAGGAGGGAGGAGGGAGGAGGGAGGAAGGAGGAGGGAGGAGGGAGGAGGGAGGAGTGGCGGAGAGAGGAGGGAGGAGGGAGGAGGGAGGAGGGAGGAGGGGAGGGAGGAGGGAGGAGGGAGGAGGGAGGAGGGAGGAGGAGGAAGAGGATGAGGAGGAGAGGTGTGGAGGAGGAGGAGGAGGAGGAGGAGGAGGATGAGGACGAGGACGAGCGAGGACGAGGAGGCGGGGAGGAGGAGGAGGAGGAGGAGGAGGAGGAGGAGGAGGAGGAGGAGGAGGAGGAGGAGAATAATACAATACTGGGGAGGAGGAGAAGGGGGAGGAGGAGGAGGAGGAGGAGGAGGAGGAGGAGGAGGAGCCGTAGCGCGCGATTGGTGGACGCGCCCGTGGCAAGAAGGCACGGGACGCCAACCACGGCCAAGTCCCGCGGGAGTCCGTCCAGCTTGCCACGAGGGCAAGCCTGGTGCGGGCCCCAGGATGGAAGCTGGCGAGAGAAGCGCGGAGCAGTGCACGGCAGAGCAGATCAGGGCCAGGCAGTGCAGCGCACGGGGCTGCGACGCGGCGCCCTCGCGGCGGCGTCTGAACCCCCCACGGGGCCGTGGGTGTGGGCTGCGCCTGGACATTGGACGATCTCGTCCCGCGTGCCAAGCTGGCCTGGCCCTGAAGCACCACGGGCGCTATCGGGGACGCCTGCGGCGAGCCATCGTTGCCCCGTGCCCTTTGGAACCGCCTGCGTGAATGTGGCCAGACGTTGGGCCGAAGCCCTGCCGAGTTGTTGGGCGATGTGTTCCCCGAGTCGTTGTGGACCCCCCCCCCCCGGGGGAGCAGTTGGGAGGAGCACGAGAGGTGGAACAGGAGGAGGAGGAGGAGGAGGAGGAGGAGGAGGAAGAGGAGAAGGAGGAGGAGGAGGAGGAGGAGAAGGAGGAAGAGGAGGAGAAGGAAGGGAGGAGGAGGAAGAGGAGGAGGAGGATTTCCAGGATTTCCGACATCCCGTAGGGATAAGGAGGAGGAGGAGGAGGAGGAGGAGGAGGAGGAGGAGGATGAGGAGGAGGAGGACGAGGACGAGGAACGTGTTGCCTCTTGAGGGCTGCCTGGGGCCCTCTGAGGGCTTCCTGGGACTTCTCGGGGGCCTCCTCGGGCCTCTTACAAGCATCTTGCAGGCCTCTTGGGGGGCTTTGGGTCCACACTGGGCCTCTTGTTCTTCGGACGCCGTCTTGGAGGCTCACTGGGCCGTCTTGGTGCACTCTTGGGTCTTGGTACGATCGGGCGGTCGTGGGGCCGTCTTGGGGTCGTCTTGGGAGCAGTTTGGGCCGTCTTGGGGCCCTTTGGGGGGCTTCGTCGGTTGCCTTGGCGCTATATCGGACGCCCCTATGGCCGTCTTGGGCCATGCGAATCTCGAAATAGTGAGAACGCTCAGCTTCGTCAAACGCCAGAACGGCAACTCGATTATCTGTTGCCTACTGAGGACCGCCTAAACATCTTCGTGGAACAACTTGGAGCGCCTGAGGGGGCCTCCTCGGCCATATTGAGAACATGCTGTGCAGTCTGTCCATCTTTGCCGTAGTGGAGGCATATTGGAGCCATCGTGGACTCTCATTGAGCCATCTTGGACGTCTTGGATGCGTCTTGGAACCATACTGGATGTCAGTATGGCTATCTTGGAGGTGAGGTGTTTTGATGCTGCAGTGTCTGAAATGCCGCCCGCGGGGCGGGATAGTGCACAGGGGAGAGGGGCGAGGAGGAGGGAGGGGGAGGAGGAGGAGGAGGAGGAGGAGGAGGAGGAGGAGGAGGAGGAGGAGGAGGAGGAGGTGGGCGAGATGTCGGTTCGGCTTCCGCCTCTCCGCCGTCCGAGGCGGCGAGCGCGCTTGCGGCCCTCCGTTCGGCGGGTCTGCCGTCTCGTGGTCCTCGCCCTCCTCGAGCCTCGTGCCTCCCGCGCAGGCCGAGGAGACGTCGAAGCAGGCCGAGCTGAAGACGCGGCAGGCCGAGGAGGAGGAGAGGCGGGCCGAGGAGAAGGCGACGCAGGCCGAGGAGGAGACGAGGCGGGCCGAGGAGAAGGCGAAGCAGGCAGAGGAGGAGGAGCGGCAGGCCGAGGAGGAGGCGAGGCAGGCCGAGGAGAAGACGACGCAGGCCAGGGAGCTGTCGGGGCAGGTCGTGGAGGAGGCGAAGCACGTTGAGGAGAAGATGAAGCAGGCACGTTGTCCTCCCCCCCCGAGCTCGAGCCTTGATCGGTCGGGCGGTTCCTGCGTCTAGGGTTGGACTCGAGTTTCGGCCTGCCCAAAGGATTGAAGAAACCACGAACGTTCCAGCGTTTCCTCAATCAGGCTTGCCTAATGGATTCATGCTTGCTTAAAGGCTGGTGGCTACTAATGTTGCTTTTCCCTTTGCTCGGAGATGCCTTGGGTTCCTCGGGTTTCCCGCCCCTGGTGCCTCTTATTGAAACTTTGCCGTTTTCCAAAGTTTCCTCGGGTTCCCCGGGTTCCTCGGGTACACTGGTTTCCCCGCCCCTGGTACCTCATGCCAAGCAATACCAAGCAATGCCAAGCAGCGCCAAGCAATGCTAAGCCCCGGGTTCCCCAGGTTTCCACTCCCCGGTACCTCATGCCAAGCGCAATGCCAAGCATTGCGAAGCAATGCAAAGCAATGCCAAGTAAACCTAAGCATTGCGCCCATGCAATAGCAAGCTTCCCCTAAGTGGGATCGCTCCGGGTTCATGTTGCTGATGCAACCATCCTGCCTGGCGGTGCTAGTGACGGGCAGCCAGCCCTGGAACTCGGGCCGAGGAATTCCGCCAGAGCAGGACGGGGAGATGGCAGCCCAGTGTCATACGAGCAGCGAATGGCCAGCCTCGTCGAGAGGAGCACAGTCAAGGAACCTGCTCGAGGTTTGTACGTAGCTTCTGCTGTTGTGCTCCCGTCGCGGGCGTCGCTGTGAGATGTCGTCACTCTCAGCGTCGCTGACACAATAAACGCTGGCTCACATAGCAGGTTTTGTGTTTTGACCAACAGGCTTAGCCATTCCGCCGACGACCCGCCTTGGGCGCCGCCCAATCCTATCCTATTCTCCTCCCCCTTCTCCTTCGCAGGCCGAGGAGAAGTCGAAGCAGGCCGAGGAGAAGTCGACGCTGGCCGAGGAGGAGGAGAGGCGGGCCGACGAGAAGGCGAAGCAGGCCGAGGAGAAGGAGCGGCAGGCCGAGGAGGAGGCGAGGCAGGCCGAGGAGAAGACGACGCAGGCCAGGGAGCTGTCGGGGCAGGTCGTGGAGGAGGCGAAGCACGTTGAGGAGAAGATGAAGCAGGCACGTCCTCCTCCTGCTCATCCTCCTCCTGTTTCCTCTCTTCCCGCTCTCCCCTTGCGCAGGTCGACGAGATGACGAAGCAGGCCGAGCTGAAGATGCGGCAGGCAGAAGAGGAGGCGAGGCAGGCGGAGGAGAAGGCGAGGCAGGCCGAGGAGAAGACGAGGGGGGCCGAGAAGGAGGCGAGGCTGGCCGAGGAGAAGACGCGGCAGGCCGACGAGAAGATGCAGCAGGCCGAGGAGAAGGAGCGGCAGGCCGAGGAGGAGGCGCTGCAGGCCGAGGGGGGCATGGCGCGGGCCAAGGAGCTCTCGGGGCAGGCCGTGGAGGCGGCGCGGCGGGCCGAGGAGAAGGCGAGGCTGGCCGACGAGAAGGCGGGGCGGGCGGAGGCGCAGACGCGGCAGGCCGAGGAGGCCGCCCGGCGGGCCGAGGAGAAGACGCGGCACGCCCGGGAGCTGTCGGGGCAGGTCGTGCAGCAGGCGAGGCTGGTGGAGGCGAGGCTGAAGCAGGCTGGGCCGCCTTGGCGCCGTCACCACGCCCTCCCCGTCGCCCTCCCGCCGCCCCGCCCCTCCTCCTCCTCCTCCTCCTCCTCCTCCTCCTCCTCCTCCTCCTCCTCCTCCTCCTCCTCCTCCCCTCCTGCGCCCCGCTGCCTCGGCAGGCCGAGGAGAAGTCCAGGCAGGCCGAGGAGAAGTCGAAGCAGGCCGAGCGCGCGTCGCGCGGCAGCTCCCAGCCGTCCTCTGGGGCGTTGGGCCCTCGTTTCGAGCAGTCCTTGCCTCCTCTTCTCCTCTCCTCTTCTTCCCTCCTCTCTCCTCTCCTCCTCCCTCCCTCTTCCCATCCCTGCCCCTGCCCGCCGCAGGCACACGTCGGCACACCCCATCACACGTTTCGTGACCCCCCGTAGGAGGGCTCCACCGAAGCCTTCCGGGAGGTCGCATGCGGTTCTTACCCGGTTCGGTTCACCCCTCACGCGCTTCGTGGCCCCACGGAGCTCCATCGAACCCTCCAGGAAGGGGGTCTCATGCGATTACTGTCCACGTCAGCACACCCCTTACACATGTCGTGGCCTCACATGGACTTCTACCGAAGCCCTCAGGAGGGGTGGGGGGTCGCACGTGGCTCTTACCCAGTCTAGAACATCCCATATACGTTTCATGGCCCCACAGGAGGCTCCAGGAGCTCCACCGACACCTGCAGGGGGCGGGTACCGCATGCGGTTCCAGTGCATGTAGGCACAGGCACATCCATCACACGTCTCGTTGCCCACCAGGAGCTCCACCGAAGCGGCCAGAAGGGGGGGGGGGGGGTCGCATGCGTTTCTTACCCATCCCAGGACGCCCAATATACGTTCCGTGGCCCCACACGGAGCTCCACCGAAGCCCCCAAGGAGGGGGTCTCGCATGTGATCCTTACCAGTTGTTGGGGCACCCTCATACGTTTCGCGGCCTCAAAGAGGGCTCCGAGGAAGCCCCCCAGCCCGTGGGTTTCGCACGAGGTGTTTACCATGTTTGGCACACCCCTCACACGCTTCGGGGGCCCACAGGGGGGCTCGGGGGGGGGGTCGCATGCGGCTCTCCACCCATTTCGGCACACCTGTCACACGTTTCGTGGCCCCACAGGGCGTTCCACCGAAGGCCCCAGTGGCAGGGCCCGCGTGAGCCCCCAGGCTCATTTCGGTACACCTCTACGCGCTTCTTGGCTCCAGTGGGAGCCCCAGTGAAGGCGACATTCACAAGTGCGGCATTCACGATTGCACATGGTTGGGTCCCTCGCCTGGGTAAGTGTGTCTTCGTCCTCATCACCATCGTCGTCGTCGCTGTCGTCGCAGTAATCATCATCATTAACATCATCGTCATCATCATCAGCAGCAGCATCAACATCACCAACCTCAGCATCCTCATCAGCATCATCGGCATCATCAGCATCATCAGCATCAGCATAACCAACAACATCATCACCATCACCATCCTCATCCTCATCATCATCATCATAAGCATCATCAGCATCATCATCATTATCTTCGTCCTCGTCATCATCCTCACCATCGCCATCATCATCAATATTGCCATCATCACCACCATCACCGTAGTCATCATCAGCATCATCATCATCAGCAGCAGCATCAGCATCAGCATGAACATTAGCATCAGCATGAGCATCGTCATCGACAGCATCGTCATAATCATCATCACCACCACCATACTCATCATCCTTATCCGCAATCATCAGCATCATCATCATCATCACCATCATCATTGTCACCACCATCATCGCCAGGATCACCCTCATCCTCATGTTCATCATCATCCTCAGCATCGTCATCAGCATCACCACCACCATCATCATCAGCATGATCATCAGCATGATCATCATCATCACCATCATCATCATCATCAGCATCATCAACATACTCATCACCACCATCATCGTGAACAACATCATCGACAACATCATCATCACCATCATCATCATCATCATCATCATCATCATCATCATCATCATCATCATCATCATCATCACCGTCATGCTCAGCATCGCCATCAGCATCATCATCATCATCACGACCATAATCATCGTCATCGTCATCAGCATCATCACCATCATCACTATCGTCATCATCATCCTTACCATCATCGTCACCATCACCATCACCGTCCTCATCATTACCATCATGTCATTGCCATCGTTCTCATTTTCACATCTATCACCACCATTGCCATCATCATCAGCATAGTTACCAGCACCATCAGCATTATAATCAGGACCATTACCATCGTCACCATCATCATCATCATCATCATGCTCACCTTCGCCATCTTCATCACCATCGCCATCGTCATCATCACCAACCTCTTCATCACCACCATCACCACCATCACCATCACCATTACCATTACCATTACCATCACCATCATTACCAGCATTGCCATTGCCATCGTTCTCACTATCACAACTGTCACCACCAGCAATCAGCCTCACCATCATGAACACCGTCATCACCTGCATCACACGCACAGCTCATCATCGTCGTTCGTTCCCCTTCCGCTTTCCCCCTGCAGAGCAGGCCGTGGAGAAGTCGATGCGGGCCAAGGAGGCCAAGACAGAGATCGACGCAATGAGCGGCGATGTGGGGGAGCCGTGCTGCCACTCCCCACATCCTCCCTCCTCCCCTTCTCTTCTCCTTCCTCCTCAGCCTCGTCGTCACTCCTCCTTTCCCTCCCTCTCTCTTCCCTTGCTCCCTCCCTCCCTCCCTCTCTCCTTCCTCATGGTCATCCTCCTTCTCCCGCTCGGGCGGGATTCCAAGCAGGCGATGCGGCCGACGAAAGTGCCACCGAGCACAACTTCGACACCAAGCTGCCCATGCCACAGGCAGTCGCTGCCCCAGGAGGAGGAGGAGGAGGAAGCAGGCGAAGTTCTTTAATTTCCTCGTGCCCTGCACCCCATGCGAGGTAGTCTGAGCACCCGGAGCACAGCAAACTGCGAGGCAGTCCTTTGATAAAGGTGGTAACGCAGACGATGGGGATGCTGATGCTGATGCCAAGGAGGACGAGGAGGAGGAGAGACGCTACAATCTGAGGATTCCAGTCCGCTCGATGTCAAAAAAGGGCGAGGAGGAGGACGAGGAGGAGGAGGAGGAGGAGGAGGAGGAGGAGGAGGAGGAGGAGAGGGAGGAGGAGGGGGACCGTAGCCATTTTGGCTAAAGTTGTTACCTTCGCCCCGAGGGTATAGCTTGATTCGCAGCCAAAGGACTGGCCCGAGGTCCCTACAGGTTTCCCTTGCACGATCCTCACGGACAGCCCTCGTGCACCGTGAGTTTTTGGCTTCGCTTACCAGGCTGTCCTTGGGTGCAGCTACACCGTAACTGCGAGATGTCTGGCGATGGCGGGGAAGGTCCACGTGATGATTGGGCTGCGGCGGCGGTGGCGGCTGAACTCGCTCCGACCCTCCCATCCCAAGAAGTGGGCACTCCTACTCGTCGACCTCCTGCGAAAGATCCAGCTTCTGGCATGGCCTCTAGCAGCGACGACTCAACGTTCTTCGAGTGCGGCGGCGCGCGTTCCGTCGACCTCAAGAGCTATATCGGGAGCATCAGCTCCTCCCTCGCAAAGGAATTCGCAGGCATCCTGGCCTCGGTCACCAAGTCGCTGTCTGATTCACAGAACCGAATGGCTGCTACTTGTCCGGCCCTTGGCGCGAAAGTGGTGAAGAGGCTGGCCCCCATCGATTGCACAATCAAGCAGCATTCTCGCCTGTTGGAGGATGTCTTTGCCGAATTCAATTTACTCAAGCGCGAGCTGGGGATTGATCAGTCGGTTCCTCCGTCGCCTTTGACGACCATGCCGGGCACGAGCTTCGACCGTACTCCCGACCCGACGATCATCGTCGTGCGCAGCAGCTCTTTGGTGGCGAAGGCGACGGTCACCCAGCAGTGGGAAGTTCAGGGTGAGCCGTCCATTAAAAGGTTCTTGCTAAAAATCAAAGGTGCTACGGACTACGCCACCAGGGTGATCAACCAAGCGCTCGGGGCCATCAAGCTTGGCACCCCTGGCGGCCAGCGGAAGAAATTCCGCAATACCGCGATGGGCAACTCCAGGACGGAGCTCTTCTTGGGCCCCGAGAGGTCGCCGTTCCAGATCAAGCGTGGGATGGCACGCAAGAAAGGCTAATACCGCTATCGACAACCTCTGCCCAGACCGCCGTATCTTCCTCAATCGCGTCAAGGGGTCTATTCCATTACAGTGGGGCCGCAGGGGATCACAGCGTGTATTTCCGACCCCCCGCAGCTGCGGCGGAAGCGGGGGAACCTCGCCGACCTCGGGTTCGACCGGGGGCGAGTCTCCAACGCTGCGCAGGCCGCGCCCGCTGGCGGCGAGGACGGCGGCGAGGAGGGGTTTCTCCAACATGTCCCTGTCGCTGCGGAGCGGGCAGTTGCGCTCCGCCGCGCCGCTCAGAGTTCACCATCTGAAGGCAGCTGCGCTGGCACATCATGAGACGCCTTTCCGCATTAAGAAGCAGCGCGTCTTAGCTAATGTGTTCAACCTGGCCCCCTTTTTTATGCAGGAAGCGCGCGGCGCAAAGCACGACGTTGACGATGTCGTGCATCACCATAACTTGCCCCTGCAGTTCTCCTCCTCCTTCGTTCCTTCGGGCTCTCCTGCTTCGAATCGTATTGGAGGCGTTGCTGTTTGTTTCCCCGTGTTTCAGAGGTCCGAGGCTCGGCGGCGTCTTTTTGGCTCTCCCCTCCCCCGCCCGTCCTCGGGGGTCCTCGGGGGTCCCGGTTCCTGGCCGAGCTGTGCATGCCCAAAGCAAATCCCCGGGCGGTCGCTCGTGGTCATCCCATTTCAACGCACGCAAGCATGACCTTCGCGCGCAGTAGAGACGCCTCGTTTCTCAGAAGTTTGCAGCAGAGACCATGAGTAGCAGAGAGCAGAGTATGCGCGTGAGCGGATCGATTTCAGTGTTGGCGACCTCAATGTTGATTATTTCCCCGCTCGCCCACTGCCCCCCCGCCTCTTCGGCGCGAACGGCGCCGTGCACTAGGGCCCCTGGTCGAAATTCGGCTCGAGGCTCCCGCTCGCCGCCGCCTCGGGGCCAAGATGATCTCGTGCGTCGACGGGTTCTTCGCCTCAGCCCCTGGCCGGGCCATCACTCAGCGTTCCTCTCGGGGCCAAGTCTCCCAGGGCCCCGAGGTGCTCCGGGCCA